ATATGGGGGACTTTGGCATAGTTGTCACGCTTCGCTTTTTTATTTTTAGTCGTTATTAGGAAGATGCTGCTGCTCATCTCCTGATTCGTTTCCCTCTGTCGCCTGTTACGACACCCTCGTGGTGACATATCACCACGAGGGTGTCTGTCACTACCCCATAGGGTAGTAGACATTCTTACACCGCCACTACTTGACGGAGTGCTCAACGGAAACCCTATTACTAAGTCTACCTTTGTCGCAGAGCTGTAACTTTTTGATTATTAGTAACCATAATGTTCACTTTAATGGCTAATAATGAAATTAATAAAATGTTAAGGCTAAAATCTCGAAGAAAAGAGAACTTTCGAACGATTTATTGTTCTTCTTCTTCTTGTATCTTAAAAATGGTAATACCATCATTGAATCTATTTTTTCTAATTATCACTATAATAATACTACATACTCTATACTTAAATAAAGAAAATTAAAACAAGATAAGTGCTAGACTTGGTGGCACGAAACCCAAGGAAATATATTATTGTGCGTGCACATTCAGAAAATGGATTTTTGATGGTTGTGAAGTTGATTTTTAAGGCCAAAACCAAAAAAGGCGATTACCATGATGAAAGGAATAGGCAAAATTTACCTAAATATATTGAGGAAAAATGAATCCCTAACATACTTCCAAATAGCATCGTGGCTGAACAGCGATTGTGAAAGCGATAGCTGCTCCGATTCTTACAATGATTATGAAGGTAACGATGGGATGTCCGGAATCAGTGTTCTCAGACGATTATGGTGAAAGTTCTAGTAGCAGAGTTTAATATTCAAAGATTGCTATATGTAAAAAATAAATGTCTATAGAGTTTCTTTCCTATCTGTCCTATTTGAAATACATATTTTCTCGACTGATATTTAAATTAATATAAACTGAATTTAAGAAATAAATTGTTTTATTTTAGACTTCGTGAATAATTTACTAATCTATACTTATAAATAATTCAATCCTATACAAGCGAAGCCAGTGCGGGTCACTGGTTATAAATGTTATTTTAAAATTAATGTGTCTACTTGTGTATTATAATACTATTCAAATATTTTCCCATTAATAGAACATTTCCGAAGCCGAGCTTTTGAGCCGCCATATGTAATCCCATCCCATATATATATATATATATATATATATATATATATATATATTTTTTTTTTTTTTTTGCGCCCGAAGCAATTAAAGGGCTACCCTGTACGTAGGGAGGCGGAAAATGCATTACGCATACCACGATAGCCGGTCTATCGTGGTTATGGGGGACTCACTGTCCTACCGGGGACCCTAAGTGATACCCCCTAAAAACCGCCTTTAGGGACAGGCAACCGGCTGATTAAGCTCTATTGTGCCTTATCATGAGCGACCCTCTTTTGGGAAAAGAGGGCGCAGGCGGCTAAGTGCCGCTGAGGGAGTGCCTACGAAGGCAAATTAATGTCAGATATTACAATAATTTTATTTAATTAGAGTTGGCCTGAGCTGCCAGGAGACAGTTCAGGTCGTTTGAAAGTTTATTAGGCGGGTCCGAGAGAGAGTTTCTCGGCCTGCGGACACGATAGCGAGGTGGGGCTGCATAAGAAGCTGCCTCACGAATTAAGTGGTTTGGGTGCGACTCTGAGGCTTTGAAGAAGTTCTCAGAGAGTTTTTTAAAAAATTGTTGAATTGTTGGGAGCTCTAAGTCCCGATGAAGGTCGGCATTGCGGACGTACCACGGTGCGTTCGCAGCTCGACGACAGAATAGGTTCTGAACTATTTGGAGTTCATTTAAAATGTTAGGGTTTGCGTGGGCAAAGACGGGGCCCGCGTAGGACATGACTGGTCGTATACATACCTTATAGAGTGTACGCTTGTTTCGAAGGGACATTTTACTGTGTCGGCCCAACATACTGTTGAGCCTACTCAGATAAAAACGTGCGTGACGGGTTACTCTTTTGACGTGGGGCTTGAAAGTGAGATATATATATATATATATATATATATATATATATATATATATATATATATATATATATATATATATATATATATATATATATATACATATATATATATTCAGAAAGGATAAATGACTATCGAGTTTTTATTATCAGTTATCAGGAAGGCGCTGCTGTGCGTAACTGGTTTCATTTCCCTCTGTCGCAACTTACAACACCCACGGGATGATATTGGGCTATGACTTTGTGTGTGTGCGTGTGTGCGTATGTGCACGCGTGCGTGCTTGCGCGCGTGTGTACGTGTGTGTGTGGGTGTGTGTGCATGTGTGTGCGTGCTTACATGTGTGTGTATGTGTTTGCTTGTTCAATATGAGTGAGTTTCGTAGAGACGATTGTTTTTGTGCGCGCAGATTTCAGACAGTTTTATATCGGTAAAAACGCTATGGCTACTACCCCCCGTTCGCCGGTAGTCTGAGTTGCCCTCATTGACTACAAAGTCATTAAAATTGTCAATTGAAAGTATTTTGAAAGTCTAAGAGCTGATTTACCCTTAGAGTATACATAATTATACATCGCACACATACACTCGCTCGGCAAAGAAGGGAAACATCATGCGGCACACCTTCACATGATAGAAATCAAAATAGGTTAAAGATCATAAAAATATTGGAATCAATTGTAGTAAAAAAATTAATAAGAAAGTCATATAAAATACTTTTATTTCATAAAGTTATAATTTTCAGGTTATTCACTATCACCGAACCTTCTATTTATAACAATGAAATCCATAACACAACGAATACATAGATAATATAAATAGGTACATGTTTTTTAAAAAAAATATTGTCAATTTTAATGTTTACTTTAAGGTACTTATGGAAGTTTTTAAACGCATCGAAATATCATTTAATATTATTACTTAGTTTTAAAAAACACTTAATCTAACTGACTAATGACCGTTGCACACTGTAATAATTATAAACTAGTCTCGACTTATGTATGGTTAGGTACTGAAATATGAACAGGTCGTACTAGTCAACATAACCGGTGAACGGCCACGCTCTCACATAATACCAAAACGCATAAAATAACAGCTTAATGCAGTTGTGAACCGAAGTCTTTTTACTGGAAATCAGGCATTGCATCTAGTCCTGAGGAGTAACAATGCATTTTCATTTTGATTCTTAATCGAGGACAGATGTAGATGTATACGGGCCACAGCATCCACGTACCATCAGGTGGGCTGCTTGTTTGTCTCCCTTATTCTATTAAAAACACATGAAAGAAAGAGAAAGAGATATTCAACCCGACAATTTGTTTATTTTATTCAACTTCAGTGTGGCTTTACTTTGCACATTCATAATAGGATTTTCTTCCTGTAAGCAGTTTACAAACATAAATTGCATAAGGACAAACATTCAGACCCGGGTCAATTAATTGTAATCCATGCAAATACTTCTTTAGTTTTAGTCGACACTGCGTCACGGAGCCGTCAAGTTTGTTTTAGTCTTATTTACGAATTGTTCTGCTTTTTAGCCGATTGCAACAGGGAGAAGGTTTAAAATCCGACTGTATGTTTTGTTTATGAATATCAACTGTGGGCAATTTTGATGATTATTTTTATTAAATGTTCTTCAGAGGTGTTCCGATATAAATTTGATGAAAAAATACACCTTAGGTAGGCTAAATAGGGGATGAACTGTTAAGACGAAATTGATATTGTGAAATTCCTTAGTCAACTCAAAAGGGTGGAAGCATCGACTAAAAAATAAATAAAAGCAGACTTCAAAGAACTAAAAACAATAAAATAACTTCACATTCTGAAGTCGGAGCTCTAATTTTTCTATACTCTACATTTTTTTCTACTTCTTTTTTTTTCTTGACGTGATATAAATAACTTTCGACATTGTACTCTTTTCTTTTACTTTATAGGGTAAGGGTGACAAACGAGCACATAGTCAACCTCGTGGTAAGTGGTTACTGTGGCCCATAAACATCTACATTTAACCTCGATTACGAATTAAATTGCAGATGCGTTGTGAGGACTAAAATGGAATGCCTCGTTTACAGTAAAAGGGTCTCCGGTTCTGTATAGAACATACGCACGACGAGTGCGTGATCCTTCCCCGATCTAGTCGACCCAGTGGTTCTACAAACATAATGTAGCTGCAGCTTGGCACCTATTAATTATTAAAAAATCTACCTATAAATTATAAAAAAAAAATACATGTCCTGTGATGTTCCTTTGCTTTGAACTAGTTTTTGATAGTGTACGAATTTCTGCACTATCATGGATGCGTTTTGATACATACATATAGGCAACCAGACCCGGATAAAATACTGTTGCATGAATAAGTCAACTAGCGCCATCTAGTGTCAGCAACAAGAGCGAGGGGAGCTTGGCAGTAAATGACATCACAAACCTTTCGACCGACAGCGCCACCCGAAGAACTAAGTTTCTAGAAAATCTATACTCGAATTCTCGGTACCTTACGCGTGTTTGCTTGAACATTCCGGATATTTTGCTAATTTAAATAAATAGGTGGCGCAGGATGCGATCGAGGCAGAGTGAACTCAGCGACACAAGCGAAGCTTCGGAGTGGAATTAAGTGAATTAGTGTGTTTAAATTATTAGTGTTTTAACTTTAATTGTGTAAAGTAAATTAAAGTGTTAATTTAGGTAATTTTATCGGCAATTTTTATTGTCAGAACCTCAAGCTCGTAACAATACTTTGGCCATACAAACATCTGTGGACGATTCGAACCTGCACCCTCTTGCGCCTTTCAAACGAAACTACTTTCAAAAGAAATTACTGCTTCCATTAAGGTATACATTTTTAATAATTTTTCTAATTTTATACAGAGAAAATATGAATTATTTAAAATCACAGTTCAGATTCCTTATTATAAAAATACATTTGAAAATTTGAAAATTTCATAGAAACTTACCTAATTCTTTACTTAGAAGATAATATACATAATAATCGAGAGATCATAACCCTTATGCTATACAATATAAAGCTCATTTTTGCTTCACTAAAACCCTAAGTATCGTTTGTATGAATTCCAGTCATATCGAGACTTTCATCGTCCGAAACATTACAGACTTTGTTTCTAGTGTCACAGAGTTCATTTTCCTGGTCCTTTAAAGCTTGTTCTAGGATTTTTTCGAGTTTAGGTTGTACATCGCCAAGCAGAGCCCTTTGCGAGGGCTCAGAAGCCCAACACGACTCCATCACCTCCCAGCATTCATCTGTAAAGTGCGGTAAGCGTTCGGGGCGTAGACCTGGAAATAAAAAAAACATATTTTTGAGAAGATTTACAGCGCAATTGTAAATATATGACAGGCTGACTTTGATTGTTTGTTTAAAATGATGTTACCCCCACAGTAGGATACGATTTACGTGGTACAGCCACGCTGCAGCTATTTTATAGTTGTAGCACGAATGGGTCGGCTCAACTGGGGCAGGGCCAAGCTCTCACAGAATACCAGCGTAAAATAGCAGCGAAATGCTGCTGTGTTTCGTATGGTGAGTGCAGTACTGGAATCGAGGCATTCCATCTTAGTCTTCAGAGTTTACAACGCATTTGCATGTGGATTCTTAACTGAATATAAACGTGGATGTCTATGGGCCACAGCATCCACTTACCATCAGGTGGACTGTATGCTCGTTTATCACCCTTATCCTATAAAAAAGGGTTCTCTTCTCACAAACATAAATTGCACAAGGACAAACATCCAGACCCGAAATAATTATTTATATACATGTCACATAACACCAGCTTTAAATAGCAGCTGTGTCTCATATGTTGAGTGTTAAGAAACGGGAACCCTTTTTCTGGAAACGAGGTGTTTCATTTTAGTCCTTAGGAGTGTCCCCTGCATCTAATTACCATCAGGTGGACTGTGTGCTAGATTGTCACCCTTATTCAATAAAAAAAAATACAAACACTTGTTCTGTGCGAGATTTCTAAAAATAATAATGTCCTCCAGACCGAATTTCGGCAACAGCGGCCTGCCTCAGCGGAGACTAGCCGTCGGCGCAGGACAGGATTATAGTGCCCAAGTGTATGCGCAAGCACAGGTGCACTCTCTATTCCCTCACTCTCATAATCCGATGGGACGGTAAACCGACACGACTGGAGAGAGATCAGGCGCAGGACCAACGGCTTTACGTGCTTTCTAAGGCACGGGGGTGAGACACCGCCAACTTCCTGACTCCATGCAGCTACTGAGAATTTCTTGACGGAAATAACTCAAGAATTGATTTTTTGGACCGACCCGGGTTTCGAACCCAGGACCTCATGATCAGTAGTCGCACTACTACTTCCACTAGACCAACGAGGCAGGAAGGAGATTTCTAATACACGACTTTCAGTAGTAGTAGTAACGATTGTAACATCACTAAATGCTAGTGTTAAGTTAGGATAGTAGTTCGCATGATGGATTCAAAGCCACGACTTGGCGATTTTACATTCCGCACCAGTGAAAAAAGATGGTTCAGCCATTAGTCTCTTTTTCTCACGGTTTGTTTAAGTAGATACCAACCTCCTACATATTTCTGCCACCCAAAAGTAGCGCGTGCACCGCTATGTTCCGGTTTGAAGGTAAGGCAGTAAAGATGCATACTGTGAAGCATTCCATCTTAATTCTCACTGGTGACAAAGCACCTGATTTGTTCGATTTTTTTTTAACTATTATAAGCCAGTAATTGACTACTATCTCGCCTGATAGTTAGTGATGCTGTAGAAGATGGCATGCCGCACGGATTTAACTTGACAAAAATCTATTTTTAATATTTATGATACAATAAGCGGCAATAACATAATTGTTCTATCAATCCCTACCACCCAAACTCAAAGGTCGTGGGTTCAAATTCACCATTCGAACACTTTAGTAACGCACTCCTAACAAAATCATTTTAAAGTTACGTGGAGTGGTTGTTATAAATATTTGCAATATTAATAGCATTAATAGTATTTTTTTAAATAACATTTTGAAAATTCAGAACTAATAGATTCTTCGCGAAATCGATTAGTTTACTAGAAACATACCTCGCTTGACTTTACTCCACAGCTGCTCTTTATTCTGGAATGCTTCGAAAGCTGTCGGCAGTTTTATGTTTCCCGCGCAAACATACCTGAAACGGGTGATTTGTCAGGAAATATATTAAGGTAACGGTTATCAGTTTATATAAAAAATACAAACAAACATAATTCACCTCACGATAAATGGATGGAAATGTGTAGGTTTAATCGCGAGTATTTTACAATTTTGTAAATAGGCCACAGGTGTATTAATGAAATACGTATAATATGTGATTTCGTAGAAGTTTGATTATAAATTGCACCATACAATATATTGATATAATTACATCTTATTCTTTGAACTAATTTTCTTGCAAATATTGCTGGTCATTCAGTGTTACAGAATGTAATGAGCAATGACTCATAGTGTATCGCATATGGATCTGGCTCGCAGGACCATCAAACATTGGTCGCTCCGTTATTGTTAGAAAATGCCACTGCTGAATAAAGGTTTTGCCATAGTTGCTATACTTGACAGGCAAGTCAGCACTTGCAATTTTTCTACTTGTTTCTATACGTGATATACGTGGTAGAGATATGTTGTAGTTATATTATGGGTGTTTCATACAGACGCTTAGACGTCTACGTCTACGTCGTGTCTCATGTAGACATGTACATTGTAGTCGCGTCTTACGTAGAGGTCTACGGTGGCGTCGTGTCTCACCAGAAGAGTATGCCGAACGCGTAGACGTCGACGGCGGCGTCGTAGTCGCCGGCGAGCAGCTCGGGCGCCATGTGCACGGGCGTGCCCACCACGGAGCCCGACATGAGCGCCTCGGCCGCGCAGAAGCCCAGGTCGCACAGCGCGCCGCGCCCGCCCGCGTCCAGCAGCACGTTCTTCATCTTCACGTCGCGGTGCACCAGCCCCAGCGAGTGCAAGTAGCGGATGCCTGCACACCCAAACATCCATGACTATTATACCCTATGAAATATACCCTATGAAAGTCTATTTCCGAACATAGGCCTTTCGCATAGATTACCTCACGGGGGGATTTTGCCATAGTTACCACGCTTTGCAAGCGTTTGCCAACCGCAGATGTTTATTGCTTTAAGCGGTTATCAGGAAGATGCTACTGCCCATCTCCTGTTACATTTTCCCTCTTCAAGTCGCAGACAGGAATACTAATCTCACAGCATAAAAAAGGTATGACTAGACTGCCGCATCTGAGCAATTCCTACTGTGCGGTGTGCCATGTGGAGAAGTACAGTCTCTACCTTATCTCTGCGCACTTTAAGTACAGTGACTCTATTGCCCTTCAACATCTTTAGACCGTACTTCACCAGATTTAAGGCAAGCACATTGTAATCGGGTTGTATTGCAATGCACACCCGCCACTCTGATACAGCGACAATGCACAAAAGATGGGCAGAGGACATGAAACGGTGCATCGTAGGAGGATGATGGAACATTTCATCATTTCTCAGGTGCTTACCTTGGCTAACGTTGATGGTAACGGTAACGTACAGTAAATCCAGTGACAAATACAAAATTTCTAGGAATTAATATTGACAATGACCTATCATGGAAAACACATCTAGATAATGTCTGCAAAAAAGTTAATCAATCCTCGTTTGCTCTTTACAAACTCTCCAAGATCGTCAATAAAGAAGCCGTTTTATTAGCCTATCACGGACTTGTTGCACCTATCCTAAGATATGGTGTAATATTTTGGGGCAACTCGGTAAATAAAGAATCTGTATTCAAAGCTTAAAAGAAATGCATCAGAGCAATGTGCCATCTGGATAATACTACAAGCTGTCAACCATACTTTAAACACTTAAAAATTCTGACATTGCCTTCGATGTATATCTACGAAATAAATCTATTTGTGAAATCAAATCCAAATTTTTACAAGACTGCTTTTAAAAGCTACTATAGACAGTTACGCGACAAAAAAAGATTAGACATAGAAATACTGTATGGAGATACAGCACTACTCAATAAAAGTATTCTTTGTATGGCATCACTGATTCACAACAAACTGCCAGATGATGTCAGAAAGTTGCCTATCTCACGATTTAAGACGATATTACACAAATTTCTGATTAATAAATGTTATTATAAAGTCAAAGAGTACCTAGAGGACAAAAGTATTATAATTTAATAGCAATAGTTTTAATTTAATTGTAAATTAATAATAATAATTTGAATTTAATTATAACTGAATAATAGTAATTTATACATTTACCTAATATATGTGACACATTGTAACAATTTAATAAGATTAGTATATTAAATTATAATTTAACTTAAATTTTGTATGACAACATTTTGGATTTGATTATTCGTATTATCAAAAATATTTAATTTCGAGTTTATATAATATCAAGGTATTTAGTATGACAACAATTAGCACTATAGACTCAACTATTGACAATATTTTTTTTCTTATTCTTAATTTTATTTCAAAGCACCATTATTGAATTAGTAATGCGTAGACTATATTGTAAAGTATTTGCACACCTCATAAGGTAATAATACAGTGTACATATTCTAATTTTTTTGTAACAACTCTTATACCTGTATTATGCAAATAAATGAATTTGATTTGATTTGATTTGACAACAGTCTACGATCGCTGGAGCCATAGGTAAATCTAACATCGACATAACCCTTGCAACTAGGTGTGTGCGCCAGCGTGAATTATCATCGCCTCATAACCTTCAAGGTCGAGAGGAACTACTATACGGAGCCCGCGGGGCCACGGGGAGATCAGACCAGAAAAGTCCTCTAGATACGGCGTACCTTGCCTACCCTCGGTACACATTGGAGCATAATTTCCAGTCTGTTTGTATGTACACAATGACATCTGCTGTTTCCGTTACTTTGAAGACCCCACTTTCTTCACGATTTGGATATAAATAGACACATGAATGGAAATTTATTATTCTTGTGTCTACCATTTGCACAGCGGTGATCAAGAGACAACTAGACAATTTGAACACTACCCTACTGCACAGCTAGTTTTCTATGGGAGTTTAATATCAGTTGTCAGGATCGTCCATGCCAGAAGACCGAACATGACTCGAAGAGAAGCGCAAGTTTTGCATTGTTACTTGGATTTTCTTAGCTGGTTAACAAGCGACTAAGCGATGGGCACACAGCCAACTATTTCAAACACATTTCGATCAGCACAGGTACGATGTTTAGTTTACCTTCTTCTTTTCCCTTCTCTTCTGACTACTGTCTGGTGAAATCTATGTTATAATATTCCACACTTAATTACGATATCTAAGGTGTGGCGAATATGGCGATACAAGTCAGCATATTGGGATGAGATGCGGTATTTCATTTATCTTCCAGTAATTTATAACCAAAACCAAGCGCGACAATTATATCTAAGAACCTGTCCAGATGAGGCGTTTTACACAATTTATATTGCGTCCAGATAACACGTTTTACGCGCGTTCCTACGCCGGGAGGGATTCAGTTATAAAATTATTTTGTTAACGAAGGTAAACTCCCTTGGGAAGATAAAATGACGTAGTAAAATTAATGTTGTCTAAGAAGTTAAATTACAAAATCGCGCGTACAACGCCTCATCTGGAAAGGCTCTAAGGGTGTTTGATAAGCAACTACTATTAATGTTGTGTAAATGTTGTGTGGTACCGTTAAAGATATCAGAAGCGGCGCACACGCACGCAACAAAGGTCAACAAAGGAATCGCCGGTCTAGTAGTGTATATAGAAGTATCCGTGTAATAATGTTGTGTAAATGTATAGGGGAAGTAGGGGAGGGTTGGGCAGCTGGGAGAAATGGGCACCCTGTCGTAATTCCAATTCAATTGTAAAATTTAATTTATTTTTATGTTTGTTGTTTATTTTAGTAACTGGCAAAACTGTTCATCTATAGACAATTTGTCATTTCGTTCAGTTGTCAAAGTTACACTACGCTTTCGCTCTTTAAGGTTAGGTGCGCGTTAACGTAAGTATTTTGTTGTGGTTTCACCATATATAATTGAAAAACCAGGGAAGGTAAGTATTTTATTTTATTTTAATTTCCGATGTATCTGTAACCTGTAAGTGACGCTAAAACATCATCATTCTCTAGACCATTTCCCATTATCTGGGGTCGGCGCAGTAAACCTTCTTGTTCCATTCCTCTCTATCAGCCGTCATTTCCATACTTACTCCTTTCATTCTCATATCACTCTTCACACAATCGATCCACCTTTTATTCGGCCTTCCTCTGCCCGTGTGTCCCTCCACATTCATATTCAACACTCGTTTTGTGACATGACTTTCATCCCTCCGCATCACATGCCCAAACCATGCCAATCTGCTTCCTCTCACCTTTTCTACCACTGGCGCTACTTTCAGGCTTCCTCTTATAAACTCATTCCTTATCTTATCCATCCTTGTCACACCACACATCCATCGTAACGCTAAAACATCTAACTATAAAACTTAAGTTGAAAATGTACGCAGAGGGAGCAATGGGCAGTTATTTTTAAGGTGGTTTTGTTTATGCCCAATGCCCCCACTATAAGTAATGTACAGAGTTTGTTTTACATTATCTAAATTAAGTTAAAATGTTTAGATGATTTTAATTGCAGAAAGACGCCATTCAAGTAAAAAAGTATGGTAAGCGATGTGAAATACCGAAAGACAGAATATTACGTGACATAGAAGAATTAGTGTCAAAAGGCGATAAATATAAAAACAACTGGTGATAATTTTGAAGACCTAGAAGAAACTTGCTACGATATTTTAAACAAGAATATGTAAAGGATTCTTTATCCAGGTTTATATCTTCACAAATTTTCGGTTTTTTTTTTATAGGATAGGGTGACAATCGAGCACACAGTCCACCTGATGGTAAGTGGTTGCTGTGGCCCATAGACATCTACATCTATCCTCGATTACGAATCAAAATGCAGATGTGTTGTCACCCGTGAGGACTAAGATGGAATGCCTCGTTTCCAGTAAAATGGGTCGCCGGTTCTCTACACTCACCATACGAAATACAGCAGCATTAAGCTACTACTTCACGCTGGTATTCTGTGAGAGCGTGGTCCTTCCCCGGTCGAGCCGACCCATTCGTGCTACAACTATACATCTAATATAACTGCAGCATGGCTCTACCACCCAACCGGTTTATATTATGAGTGTATTAATTATCATGCCCAAACCACCCACGGAGAGTGCCCAAACCTACTATGAGGAGATTTGGGCGCAATTGACATATTTCTGAAATTCTATTGTAACTTTGAGACTGATTATAATTTGTAGACTGTTCTTTGTAGAACATCTTGCCAAATGTATGGTGCAATTTTACTTGGCAATAAATATTGGATATATTAAAAACGTGCTTTTTATTACCTCGTATGCGAAAAAAGCGAGCTATTGAGAGGGCTATGCTCGGAGTTTATTTGCGTGATAAACTTAGAAATGAGGATATCCGCAGTAGAACCAGAGTGACCGACATAGCGCAACGGATTAGTAAGCTGAAGTGGCAATGGGCCGGCCATATAGCTCGAAGAACCGACAACCGTTGGGGAAAAAAAGGTTCACGAGTGGCAGCCTCGTACCGGTAGACGAAGTGTAGGGCGACCCCCCACTAGATGGAGTGATGACCTGGTAAGACATGCGGGAAGTCGATGGATGCAGGTGGCTCAGGACCGTGCTTTGTGGCATACCTTGGGGTAGGCCTATGTTCAGCAGTGGACTTGTGAAGGGTTGTAATGATGATGATGATGATGATTTGAAAAAGTGGCCATCCCTCCTCTACCTCCCCTATGCGAGTCAGCACTCACCATCAACGATGTCGCAAGCGACGCGCATGCGCGCAGCGAAGGACAAGCCGGTGCGCACGGCCGCGTGCAGGTCGCGCGCGTACCGCGCCGACACCAGCAGGACTCCCGGCGCGCCGCCCGCGCCCGCGCGCTGCACCAGTGAGCCCAGCAAGCGTACGATACGCGGGTGCGATGGGATGCTCCTGCACACCGTCACACTATCTTTATACAGGATTATCTTTCAGAGTAGTCAAATTTTAAACTAACTTCAAATAAATAAATAATGATTTACCGTTATTACCGTTTCTAAAAATATTTATATAATTTTATTACTATGCTTATTTTATTCCACATTACCTTAATTAATTGAATGTGATTTATGGGCAACAACGTTTTTATCTACCGATCATAATAAATTTACAACACCACACTATCTTTATACAGGATTATCTTTCAGAGTAGTCAAATTTTAAACTAACTTCAAATAAATAAATAATGATTTACCGTTATTACCGTTTCTAAAAATATATATATAATTTTATTACTATGCTTATTTTATTCCACATGATCTTAATTAATTGAATGTGATTTATGGGCAACAACGTTTTTATCTACCGATCATAATAAATTTACAACACCACACTATCTTTATACAGGATTATCTTTCAGAGTAGTCAAATTTTAAACTAACTTCAAATAAATAAATAATGATTTACCGTTATTACCGTTTCTAAAAATATATATATAATTTTATTACTATGCTTATTTTATTCCACATGATCTTAATTAATTGAATGTGATTTATGGGCAACAACGTTTTTATCTACCGATCATAATAAATTTACAACACCACACTATCTTTATACAGGATTATCTTTCAGAGTAGTCAAATTTTAAACTAACTTCAAATAAATAAATAATGATTTACCGTTATTACCGTTTCTAAAAATATATATATAATTTTATTACTATGCTTATTTTATTCCACATGATCTTAATTAATTGAATGTGATTTATGGGCAACAACGTTTTTATCTACCGATCATAATAAATTTACTGTTGCACGGATGAGCCAGCTCAAGCCAAGCTGGTACCACGGCCTCACAAAATACGAGCGTGACGAGGAAGCTCTGCTTCTGCGTTTCATCTGGTTAGTGCAGGTGGGTTGTAGGCCAGTCCCCCCCCCCATATGGTAGAGAAATTAAATGTAAGCTACTCCACTCCCGAGCGTGGGTACTCAGGCTGCCCCGCGTTTTGTGGGGGGCGGGGGCAAAATACCACTCAAGACAATAATTGCTCAGGGCAAGCTAAACACAAGACCAAGGCGACCCCGGCCACGCTATCCCTGAATTTCTACAGCATCAAGGGACTTTACTTGAACCTAAACGCCGGCCATTACCATCTCCAGGCAGCGAAGCCAGCCTTGTTCTTTCTGGCCGAGATGCAGGCGTGCCCTCCGGCTGATATTTCGTATCTCTCCTACCCGGGTACAAATTGGAACACTCCATTGTACCTCGGGCTGGAGTTTGCGTACATACGTACGAGGACATCTGTTCTCGACTCCTCGGCAGTCTTGAAGGTTCGGACCTGCTCATTATTTGGCTACGCGTAGACAGCGACGACCATACGCACGTCACTCTATAGGTCCCATAGTGGTAATGCCGAAACAAATTGACTCATCGATCACGTCCAAATGGCTACAGATTCCTTGCAGCAGTTCCCATCCACAGAGATCGTGATCCTCGTCGATATAACGCCCACACGCCGAACGGTTTGGTTCAAGTTTATCCAATCATGCGGTGAGATCTGTTCATGACTTTTGCCATAGCATTTGGTCTGATACAAATAGTCATTTCATCTACTCTGATTCCTGATGTGGAGGATAATGCACCTTCACTCTTGGACCTCTCATTCGGACAGACATCAGGTCTCCGTCGACGCCCCTCTTGGCTCCTCGGACCATTGTCTAATCCAGAGTGTAGTACCTCACGCTGAAATCACAGTTGCATTTTGCAGGCTGCCACCGATTGGGCTATTGAGCTTGGCTGTCGGACAATTGGGATAGGATGCGGATTATCATCGAGTACCGTCAGAACGGAAGGAACTTCATTTATAAACATTAAATACATGTGTAAAATAATATACAGTATGTAGTGTAATATATACACTACAACCCACAGATAATTTAAATAATTGTGTATAGTCTATACTTCCGGTTCAATTCAAATATATTCCTGTACGTTTGTAACGGTAAGTTTAAAATTAAATATCTTAATGGACACGCAACCGAATTTTAACTACTGTAATGGTATCAGAATATAGACCAAAAAGTGATACGAACCTGGTGTAAAAGAACTCCATGGCTAGTTCCTGGTAGTGCCTCTCGTCGGCGGGCAGGACGGACTTGACGGCGGCCGGGCTGTGCCCCGCCCAGCTGCCTCTAACTGCGTACACCACTCCATACTGACCTCGACCTGAACACGTAATTGTATATGTGTTCACATTCAGTATATGTAAAATGTATCAAATGAACAATGAAATGAAAAATAAATAAATAAAAGATTAGTACACGTAAACATAACCAAATATATCTGGCAACGTGAATGAATATTTACTAGAAATAAATTAATGCCGATACTAAAAATGATTCGTTAATAACATCTTCATTGTTCTTTTTTTTTGTAGAATAAGAGTGACATACGATGAGTCCACCTAATGATAAGTGGATGCTGTGGCCCATAGACATCTACATCTATCCTCGATTAAGAATTAAAATGTAAATGCGTTGCCACCTCTGAGGACTAAGATGGAATGCCTCGTTTCCAGTAAAAAGGGTCTCCGATTCTCTATACTCACCACACGCTACCAATAGCAGCTTAATGCTGCTGTGAAACACAGCAGCGTTAAGCTGCTATTTTAACCTGATATTCTGTGAGAGCGTGGTCCTACCCCGGTCGAGCCAACCCATTCGCGCTACAACCATAATATAGTTGCAGCATGGCGCTACCACGTAAACGTAGGCGGGTGGGTTTACAACCACATTTTTATAAGTTGGAAAATGTGGTCCATCTCTTAACTGGTCCACTAAGGCATTCTTTAATAGAAGAGAGATTTTGACTTAATAGAATCGATTCAATCTACTAGTTACGTAGGCGTTGGTAAGGTACTTAGTTGTCACAAAGCGCCAATAGATGGCAGTATTGACAACTGAAATATATATTATTAGCAACAACTTTAAAGATGCTAAGTTGAGTATGCGTCCGTGGGGAGTCCGCAATGTAACGTATATATTTCCCATACTGAATCCATTCAAAAAAAGTTTTTAAGATATTTACAGTCTAAATATAAGCGAGTAAGTCATTGATATGAGATAAGTGTAGAAGGTCTCATTTCTACCCCTAGACGGAAGACGGCAAATATCAGAAATTATCTGTCTGTTAAAAATTGTTAGTGATTTCATCGACTGCTCTTCCTTGTTGAGCAAGTTAACATCTGGGTACCACGCAAACACTTATAAGGCTCACCCAACCACTTGCAATATCTAGAGCGAACACTTATCGTCGCCACAACTCTTTCTTTATTCACGCAAGTAACTTTTCCAACAATCTCTTATTGCGTAACAGCAACTTGGAATTATTTCGAACTAAACCTTCAAATATGAACAAGCTATTTGCCTCAGAATTTTTCGGTATTGGTTCGGTATCACAATTCTTCAAGTATTTTTCCTGCATTTTTTATTTTTTAATTGATCGATTGTTTTGAGAAAAACTTGTGTGGTCAATATAAATTTTAATTTCCATATGCGAATACCTTTTAAAGGCTATGTAAAATTTAAATATTTCTTTTAGAAGAATATTAACAATGCTACATTAACATTACTAACATTACTAATATTCCTCTTAACCACTCGTGGTAAGCTTAAATTGCTTGTGTTACGAGTGGTTCACGCCAGTAGTCGAATGGCGGATTCGAACCCACGACCTTTTTGAGTTCGCGCTTCGCGCTCTGCCATTAGGCTACTGTCGCTTCTATAAATATTATAAATGTAATGTATCAAAGTTGGTGGTGTTATAATCCAAATAAAATAAAATAAAAAACTTACTTTGTGATTAAGCCCCGCATTACCTAAGAGACAGGCCAACTTTCAGCAGGGGATTCCTGGTGGTCGTGTGGGGAAGTTAAGTAAACACACTAGGAAATGATTGTTTACCGATTTCTCGTCCAAGTTCCGGTGTGCCGTACATAAGGAGGTCGCACATCGATGTACTTTCGAGACACAACCTCGCAAAAGCCGGGGCGTATCTGTGAACAATGCCCTGTATTACTGTTTTTCAAACTTCGATATATGACATAATGCAACATTAAACTATAGTGAATTTCAGACTATTGGTAAGAATTTAAAAGCGTCATAAGAGAAACGATCCGTCGATGAATCTAATACGAGAACTCAAGGTAGGTGCCAAGCTGTTTCTAAAATGATTTTCTTCACCGTGTTGTACGGAAACTGGACCATGATGTGCAAAAATAATTCAACTCACCGTTATTCTCACAGCCTATTAAAGTCAACTGCTAAACAGGCCTCCCCCATAGATTGTCTGATAGGGCTGCAATTATGACAAACATCCCCCCTATGAGTGGGTGGGCCAACGCAATATGTTTTACTTGTTATTTTTTTTATAGAATAGGGTGACAAACGAGCACACAGTCCACTTGATGGTAAGTGTTTGCTGCGGCCCATAGACATCTACATCTATCCTGCATTAAAAATCAAAATGCAGATGCGTTGTCACCCGTGAGGACTGAGATGGAATGCCTCGTTTCCAGTAAAAAGGGTCTCCGGTTCTCTACACTTACCATACGAAATACAGCAGCATTAAGCTGCTATTTCACGCTGGTATTCTGTGAGAGCGTGGTCCTTCCCCGGTCGAGCCGACCCATTCGTGCTACAACTATACTACTAATATACGGCTCTACCACGTATAGATTATTACGAAGACTCAGCTACCCATGTCATGATTTGTTTCCCTCTGGTTCCTCTTACGACACCCACGGGATGATATGGGGTAGTGGATATTATACTCCGCTACTGCACGTTACGATCACAATAGATCTTTTATGTCGCAGTGATACTGGGTGTCCTTACCAAGACCTGCATAGCTGCTCGCACATAATAATAATACTGTAATTTCATTAAACTAAGTTTGTATAAAAAGGGTTATTATAATATTAAGGACTTTATGGATGATAATAACCCCTGGCAAGGGTGATCACTACCAAGCTATTTCTAATTTGTCTTGTGTTGTTAATTGTAAACATGATTGTAAGCTATTATTGGAAAAAAAATAGTCCCGCTGGGTTTCTTGCTGGTTCTTACCAAGACAGAGGTTTTTTTGCGAACCAGTGGTAAATGAAAAAATTGACTTTCAATAAGTATTGTTTATGATCTACATTGAATAAAAAAGTTTCTGTTTCTGTTACTGCACGTTATCAACTCACAAAAACATGTAACAAAATAATTCAAAATAATAAAAAAACTACGGTTGCCAATCCGCCTGCCACGCGTAGCAACTATAGCAAATATCCCTCCCATGAGGCAATCTATGGTGGTATATAATTTATGATTTTCAGTAATGTCTGAAAACTTGGTCGGTTTTTAATTAAGGTAAATTAGATTTATAGCATTTTTCTTATTTTTATTTGAAATTTTATTTACAGCAGTATTATGAATTACACCTTGTCTGAAATTCACTGGTATACATAGGCCTCTACCATAGATTGTCCCATAGAACCGTCCCGTCATTTAGTCCCGTGGCAGGCGGATACCAACTATTTAATTGTCATGTTAATAAAACAGTCCAACTATAACGTCACGCGGACACAGACTTCTATGTATATTACTGTACGGACACTATCGTGCTTATACATTCCGCAGTAAGTTACGGTCGATTCTTCTTAACTTCTTTAGTCGACTACGAGCTGGCGAGAAGACAAATTCTGTGTTTTGTTACCCGCGAACATTGTTTTCGACAATATAACAACGTTTTGTTTAATGTAACTAACAAAACGCTGTCATTATACATGTGTGTACTTTTTCACCGTGATTTAAAGTTTATGTAAGATAGCTTTGTAACTTTATTTTATTATTTGTCTAAAACGGTAACTGTCGTAATTAATAAATACAATTGCGTGGCATATTTACCGTGCCAGCTACTCTCTCACGCGATCCACAGCTTTGACACAGTTTATGTTCTAAATTGTCGGTCTAGTAGCATACAAAGAAGTCTTTGCGACGACATGAAGGATTTTATATCTTAATATTGTCACCAAACCCGCTAAAGAATGACAGGAGGTCTTATACGTGGTAGAGCCATGCTGCAGTTATATTAGAAGTATAGTTGTAGCACGAATGGGTTGGCTCGACCGGGAAGGACCACGCTCTCACGGAATACCAGCATAAAATAGTAGATTAATGCTGTTATGTTTCGTATGATGAGTGTAGAGAATCGGAGACCATTTTTACTGGAAACGAGGCATTACATCTTAGTCCTCACGGGTGACAACGCATCTGCATTTTGATGCGTAATCGAGGACATATGTAGATAGGTCCACAGCAACCACTTACCATCAGGTGGACTCTGTGCTCGTTTGTCACCCTATACTATAAAAAAGGAGGACTGACTTGTCTTGTGTGACGTACACTGTTATCTTACTTTTAATACTCACTTCTTTCTGATGGCCAATTTGACGTCTTCAGTGTGATGTAACCGATTGGCCAATGCAGTTTCCAAAGACGATAGAGCGCACTGGTATCTTTCATGCGCGACACTTAGCCTTTCCAGTATCTTAAACGAAAACAAACATGAAATGTTAAAAGAAACGTGTAAGTGAACGAGACAGTTCAGTTTTACAATCAGATAGCCATCTTTGCAATGCGCTAAGCGATTTTGGATTTCCTATGGTCTTCCAATGAACGTCCACATCTTGGTTCTGTAAGCTATCACTGGCAACATGCAGTGTTTGTAAAAATAGATTTTAAGATTATAAGGTACACAGAATAAAGAATAAAGTACACAGGGCCTAATGTTAATATGAGACATATAACAAACAATAATGTGCAAACTGTATTTCTTGCTTAGCATGTCGTAAGAGGCGATTATTATGATATTGCGTTTGTGATACTGTAGGCGACTTTCCGTCTAAACACAGATTTTTCGTGGTCTGAATAGCTCGCTGCTCTTTGCAGCATATTAAAAATGCATGCAGCATATTTAAAATAAGCAAGAAAATCGTTTATTTTATATTCGAAAAATTGTGTTATATGCATTAAAAGATACTGTCGAATTAAGAGCCTTATTATACACGTGGTAGAAAGTGGAAGAGATCCTGCAGGTACATAATGGTGGTAGCACGAATGGGTCGACATGACTGGAGATGGATCACTCTAACAGAATACCAACATAAACTAGTAGCTTATTGTTCCTTTGGTGAGTGTAGAGAACCGGAACCTCATGTGACACCAGTATAAACATCCATAGTAAATTACATTTGATACTAAAAAAGACAACAAACTGGATAATAATAATAATAATAATAATCTTTATTGATAAACATATTTATTACATCCACGAAATTTACAGTGGTCATTAGCCCCTAAACTAGGATAATACCTGTATTTCAGGGGCTAGTTCCTTCCCTATTCTTAGTTCTATTACTGTAATTTGTTTATCTATGTATTATTTTTATAATGTTTATTTATTATATAATATTAACAAGTATTATTTAAAATGTAAAATTTATGACAGTAAAAAAGGGGGATAAAATAAAATAAAATTATGTTGGCACTATTGCAAATGTGTGTGTGTGTGCGCGCGTGCGTGCGTGCGTGCGTGCGTGCGTGCGTGCGTGCGTGCGTACGTACGTACGTACGTACGTACGTACGTACGTGCGTGTGTGTGTGTGTGTGTGTGTGTGTGTGTGTGTGTGTGTGTGTGTGTGTGTGTGTGTGTGTGTGTGTGTGTGTGTGTGTGTGGGTCTGTATTAGCGTGTGTTGTTTACATGTCCAAAGAAAGAAGGCTCTCCGTACTTCATAATCAAAAATTTTCAGCCAGTCTGTAATTTTGCTTTTCACTTCAAAGTTGTTTAGTGATCTTATGTTATGACATCTGTTAAGTTTATTATATAGCCTAGGGGCTAAAAAGTCAAAATGTCTTCTAAACACATCACTTTTCGGTTTTGGAACAGGACATCGTTCTTTTCTCTTATTGCTTCGTATTAGTTTAGGGACAGTGACGCGATGATACCTCCTTAAACAGTGATAAATAAGTTTTGCGGACGGATAACACCTTCGCTTTGTCATACAAAGACACTGTTGATTGGCGAAATGGTAGACGAAAAATTACTTAAAATAGCTCTTTGTGCGCGTTCAACCTTTATTAAATAGCTTTTAGCGGCACCACCCCAGGCACAAATGCAGTAGGTACAGAGACACTCTCCCAATGCTTTGTATGCTTTGGATGGCAGAACATAATCGCATTATAAATCGAAATAAATTTCTCCGAAACGAAAATAATAAGCTTTCATTTCTACCAAAAAGTTCCACTAAATATAAACTTTACCTACGATAATATATAAATAGAAAAAGTAAACGAATTCACCCTACTTGGCTTAACAATGGATACAAATATTAACTGGAAAACCCACATAATGAAAATTAAAAGGAAATTAGCAAGTTTTACACACGCTCTCCGAGAAGTGAAATAATCTACCGATATATAAACCGCCCTCAGTACCTATTATGCTTACGCGTACTCGTGGCTCTGCTACGGGGTTATCATATAGGGAAATAGCACAGACGTTTCTGATATTTTAACCCTACAAAAAAAATTAATTCGAATAATATTTAGCATACAAAATACTGATAGCTGCAAACCATACTTCGTCGAACATAAAATACATACCCAGCATATATATCTTGGAAATCTGCAAATTCATTAAAAAATACCCAGAATTTTATATCAAACGAGGAGAAAGCAATACCAAATACCAATTACGCCATAAAGAAAAACTGACTAACCATATCGCGCCTTAAACTACATTCGTAATGTCTATCAAACTTTTCAACAAACTCCTAAACTCGATAAAAAAATATAGAAAAACTCACAAATTTTATAAATAAACTAAACGAATTTTTAATTTGTAAACACTACTACACACTAAACGAATACCTAAATGACAAATATTAAATGCCCACCTAGAATACCTACAGTTACTATATTACGTAGTGTATTCATAATTATTGTTTCATTGGGTGCGTTTGGCAGAAAAAAGCGTTAGCAAGCGCTTATAAGCGCTAAAATAGTTTTCGGCCAGGACACGATTGCTACTTCAGTAGCGCTGACACAATCCGCCATTTTGCTTATTTAATTTGTTTGTTTTGAAGTAGAGTTTATAAGTTGTTTTGTGCAATATTAGTTTTAAGTAATATAATGACATGAATAAACATATACATGCTATTAAAAACTCATGATTGGTAAGTTTTTAATATGAATACTTTACAAACATATATTTAAATTAGGTTAGATTCCCCGGTTAAAACTAACATCGTGTCCTGGAGGAAAATAGCTACTTACGATTTGACAGCGCTTACCGCTTACGATCGCCATTTTGCTTACAAGCGCTTGCTAGCGCTTTTTTCTGCCAAACGCACCCATATAATGGCCTTCCTCTCTCTTAACTGTCGTGCCCTGTAGGGCCCATAATGATCTCATAGTTTTAAGCTAAAACTTAAAATGTTCTCAACACCTTAATTGTAACATTATGGATGCAATAAATAATATGAATCTGAATACGAACACTTTTTACTGGGATTGCGGCATTCCATCTTAGTCCCCAGGGGTAACAACGCATCTATATTTTAATTCTTAATACAGGATAAATGTCTATGGGCTCCAGCGTTCACTTACCATGGTGGACAGTGGGCTCGTTTGACACTCTTATTATCTATAACCCTTCGATCCCTATAAAAATCCGATGCAGTCGCATGCGCCCGGCAAATCCCGAGCGGTCGCACGCAACCGCACCCACCCGCAGCACTTAAAACCATTAAAAGTTATATTTAGAGACTACTATTCTATTAAGAAGTTTGGCATTATAAAATCTATACAAAATTCTCTATATAAAAGTAAGGTTTTACTTTATTACAAAAATACTGTTGTTTTTTGATAACAAAAACAAAACATACCAAGCGTGAAAATCATAATTATTTCAATATATATTACTCGAAATTATTTACGAAAAAAGATAAATTACATTCACACAAAACACACTTTCATTACAATTTTATAATAAAATACTATACTAAAACACTAGAAAATCCAAAAATCAACACAATAACATTCACGCGAAAATGGTGTACGAAATGAATGTAGATTATAAATAAATATTCATGGGATAACAGTTTTTTTTATTGCACTAGAGGATAGAGTATTTCATATTGATTCTATAATGTCAAAATTCTTCATAGAAAAGTAGTCTCTAAATATAAGTTTTAATGGCTTAAAGTGCTGTGGGTTCCACAGCCACAATTTCGAATTCGATTTGACGGAATAGCGCCGCGGTCGAATTCAACCGCTTGGGGGCTGAGGGGATAAAAAAACATTGTGAAAGTTGGTTAAAAGTAGCTGAGTTACCTGTCCAGAAATAATCCGAGCTAATCTCTGAGGGCTGAGCGAGTGTATAGTGTGAAGCGCCACCTGTCTCCGCCACACGGGACTCAGCACGCAACACGCATCCTCGGCGTCTCCGCCCACAATACGCAACCTGAAAATAAATATAAAAGGTAGAAAATACTCATTCATTCATCTAACATTCATTTCAGATAAGTATGGAAATTAGTGCACCCGAACACCAGCGCGCTGGCAGGGTCCATCACAGCTTTGACATAGATTTTGTTAAGAATTCCCTGTTTAGTAGTATATATACTGGGATGACTTTTTTTACCCACTGGAAAAAATAGGGCGTAACATGTGAACGGAGTAGAAGCATATGGCACTGACATTTTATGAAAAATAAAAACAAAAGTTTTGAATGAAATGTTTGAAATTTTTTTGAACAATTACTTTGTCCTTTGCCCTTGAGCCTGTGACCCTGCGAAGTGAGGTCAAAGATGCCTACCAAATTTATTGTTTTAATTGCTGTTCGCAAAGTAGGGTGCATATGATTTGAATTTCGATAGATTTTGATTCACTTATTTATTTCAAAAATTTTGTTTATATTTTTTCTACAATATCAGTGCCATAGGCTTCTACTCCGTTCACATGTTATACCCTACTTTTTTCAGGACGGTAAAAAGGTCATCGAGTAGAAGCAGTAGTAGTAGTAGGTAGCTCAGGGACTTGGCGCTCGCCGTAAATTTCACAGTGTGTTAGTAACCCGGGTTCTATCACTGCCGGTACTGCAATGATGCAATTTTTAAGTGACTGCCGTATATAGCCTGCAATTTTATACAAGTCTTTGTCATCGTGTCTCCTCTTACACTAACTCCTAGTAATATATTTTCCACAGATGTCACGCTTGGCAGGCGGGTTGGCAGCTACAGTTACCTAATTTCTTTTCGTTATTAGAAAGGTGCTACTGACCATTTTCTGTTTTACGTCTTTCATGACACACACAGGACATACACGATTCTCATACCACAAGTCCATTATATATAAAATACGAAATCAAAATTTTTGTTTTGGTGGTAGAAGTTGTTTAGAGCCATACCATGGCTATTTTATGGTTGTGGCACGGATGGTTCGGCTAATTTGAAAAAGAACCATGTTGTCACGAAATACCACCTTAATGCTCTAGTGTTTAGTCGCTTTTATTTATTTAATATTATTTATTGCACACCATATAAAAAAATTACTAATTATATATACAAAAGAAGTATGCAATGGGAGGTCTTATTGCTGATAGCAATTTCTTCCAGACAACCAGAGAATGGACAGGATTACACAAAGATGACAAGGGTAGGGCACATTGGTATGATAAAAAAAAGAATACACATTTCATTTATATATATATATATATATATATATACACATATAACAAAAGAAACATATACTACAAACATATATACATACAAAATAAATATATATTTAATTATTTAACTAAATGCAATCAATATACTACATATGTATTATATTATATGAAGCGACAGTAGCCTAATGGCAGGGCGCGGACCGCGAACTCAAAAAGGTCGTGGGTTCGAATCCGCCATTCGACTACTGGCGTGAACCACTCGTAAAACAAGCAATTTAAGCTTGCCACGAGTGGTTAACATTACGAATATTCCCCATATTCGTAATGTTTATAGCATTGTTAATATTCTTTAAAAAATATATATATTAAATGGCTAGTGTGGGAGCGAAGTGCTTTAGCTTTTATTATTTACTAATAGGTGGACTGTGTGCTCGGTTGCCACCCTTATTCTATAAAATCTAACATAGCAGCGGGCCTGACTTGCAGAGGAAGCTGCGCAGCGCGTCGAGCAGCGTGCGCAGCAGCGAGAAGCAGGCTGTGGGCTGCAGGTCGACGTGCCGCGCCGCGCCCAGCAGCTGCCGCACGGCGCCGCTGGCCGCGCGCCCACCCAGTTCCGCGCGGCACACGCCCTCCAGCGACTGCACGCACCTGCACGCACATGTGAGAGAGACAGGTAGACACACACACCAATAATAGCACCCTGCTTAACTGTCTCGATGGTATAGTGGTCACCAACGTGAGCATCTACGCCCAAGCTACCCTACTCTTCCTGAATCTGGATTCGGATTTAAGGAGAAAGGGACTTCACTTGAACTTTGGCTGATGATGAACACTGGCTTTTTATTCATTTTTTTTGCAACTTTAATTTCTTATCTTTAAATAAGTACGACCCCACAGTTTTTACCATACATGTAGTGTCAACCATTTTAATTTATTTGCATGACAGGACAAACCTAGCGGACAGTGCCCGAGTACCCCGTTTTCACCTTCGATGACCGACTGTTAGTAGTAGTGACAGTGACAACACAGTGTCTAACTACAAATAACACATAGGTTTAACTCAGTTGATCTTTTAGTTACAAACTCATATTGCTGTTCAGTAATTACTGAGCTAAAAATGGAGAAAACTGCTAAAAATTATTTCCTCAATCAATATTGCAAAGTTGTTAAGTTTTAACATAGGTCGATATTTTTTTAACTACAAATAACACATAGGTTTAACTCAGTTGATCTTTTAGTTACAAACTCATATTGCTGTTTAGTAATTACTGAGCTAAAAATGGAGAAAACTGCTAAAATTTATTTTCTCAATCAATATTGCAAAGTGTTAAGTTTTAACATAGGTCGATATTTTTTTAACTACAAATAACACATAGGTTTAACTCAGTTGATCTTTTAGTTACAAACTCATATTGCTGTTCAGTAATTACTGAGCTAAAAATGGAGAAAACTGCTAAAATTTATTTTCTCAATCAATATTGCAAAGTTGTTAAGTTTTAACATAGGTCGAAATTTTTTTAACTACAAATAACACATAGGTTTAACTCAGTTGATCCTTTAGTTACAAACTCATATTGCTGTTCAGTAATTACTGAGCTAAAAATGGAGAAAACTGCTAAAAATTATTTCCTCAATCAATATTGCAAAGTTGTTAAGTTTTAACATAGGTCGATATTTTTTTTATAATTCTGTGTCTGTCACCATTTTTTAAGGCAGGAGTTACGTAACCACACCCTACAAGCATTTTGCCGGTACTCCATCTTAGAAATCAGGGATGACTACGCATCAAAGCTCTCTTTGTTTAAAGTTGATTGCACGTGTCCATGGGCTCCAGTAGCCGCTTACCAACAGATGGACTGTAAAATCGTTTGTCTCTTTAATTTTTAAAGGTATTGTTACGAGCTTAGGGTTCGTGACAATAAAAATTGCCGATAAAATTACCTAAATTAACACTTTAATTTACTTTACACAAATTAAAACTTAAAACACTAATGATTAAACACACTAATTCACTTAATTCCGCTCCGAAGCTTCGCTTGTGTCGCCGAGTTCAAGTCTACTCGCTCGCATCTTGCAGCGCCTAGTTATATAAATTAGCAAAATATCCAAAATGTTCAAGTAAACACGCGCAAGGTACCGAGAGTTCGAGTTTTAAACTTCAAGAAGTTTAGTTCTTTGGTTCGAGACTAGATAGCGCTAGTGCGCCGATTTTAGCGCGTAACACTGCCCCCCTCCTAAGACATGCTCGTCCCGAGCATTATCGGTCCCATAATAACGCGCTAGGCGATCCACATGGACGATCTTAGGAGTCCCTCTTGCGCCTTTCTGTAACGGCTCCGCAATGTCTAGGGCTGTTCTATCCCGTGGTGCACCAACATTGTACAATTTCGGTGCTCCTCTACTACGTGTCTGAGGTCCCCGCACGGCCGCACAACTTGTACTTGTACGACACCAATCCTCGACATCGTCACGATAATGGACCCAGTAAAACTGTTCTCGGACCTTCAGTAGAGTTCGTTTAACTCCCAGATGGACTCTTGAACGACCATTATGGCACAGCTGTAGAACATTCGGCACTTTAGTTTTAGGGACAACCATTTGCAAACGACAGCTGTCCCTTCGACCATTGTCCCATTTACGGCACAGGACTCCATCCTGAATCAGCAAGCTGTCCCATTGGGCCCAATAGCTTTTCGTGGTTGAACTCATCGCTGAGACGTCCCTCCACTTAGGCTTGGTAGCACGGGCCTTCATCCATCCCAGAATCGGCTTGATGTCCGGATCTTCCTGCTGTGCATGTCGTAGGCTGTCCTTCCACCCGTTGCTGAGGTGGTCTGTCCTGAGCATCCTCACGGATACCACTTCCTTACTCTCTTGCCTACTACAATGGTTGCAATCTTCAGGACAAGGTCTTCTTGTCAATGCATCTGCGTTGCCGTGAGATTTCCCGCTGCAGTGTCTGATAGTGAAGTCGTAGTCCTGCTGCTGCTGGGCGGTGCTGTTAGCCGCACTTCCTTTCTGAGACCGTTCACCTTCCCTTCCTAGGGTGTGCTTAGGGCAGCTGGAACGAAGATGGCCCCTTTCCCCACAGCCATAGCACCTAGGGCTGTATCTTTTATTGTGGTCGCGAACCGTAACTGCTGTAACCTCCCTAGCGTGAGGTGAACGATGATCCTGTCGCACGGCTTCTACCTCCAGTGCATGGGCCAAGGCGTCCTTAAGCGTCTCGTGGTGCCCGAGCCTCACAGCAGCTCTGACTTCCAGGTCACGGATGCCGTCGATGAATGTCTGCACCAGGTTCCCTTCAATGAGCGCAGGTACAGACCGGTATGCTTTTCGCACCAGCTTCTCCACTTCTAGAGCCCACTGCTGCAGGTTTTCGTTGATGCGCTGCACACGATCTTTAAGCTGCGCACGAAAGACGTGTTCCAGGTGAGCGTCACCATATCTCGCCTCCAATGCCTCAAGGAGTTGCTCATAAGTCACTTCCTCACCGAGAGCTTCCAGGACTGTTAAGGCCTGGTCGCGCAGGCCTAGTGTGAGAGCAGTCATGGCCTGACTTTTATTCCAGCCGTTCGCCTTCATAACAGCCTCGAACTGGATTTTGTAGGCTGACCAGGAAGAAGTCCCGTCGAATGGTGGCACTTTGAACCCACGTAGCGAAGGTGTAGTAGCTACTACGGGAGCTGTAGTTCCATCACCCAGTTTGAGGTCGTCCAGCGTTTTCTTCACGTCAGCCACCACGTAATCAACCCGATTGTTCACTTGGTCGATTTGGGTTCTAGCTTCCTTGATTTGGGTTTCAGCTTCCGACAGGCGGTTGTCATGTTGAGCAACCCTATCCTTCACCTCCTTTATCTCTTTCCCAAAGGTAGCATGAAGGTCCTTAATGAGGAGCATCTGCTCTTCCGACTGACGGGCCTGTTCCTCCTGTCGGTGGGCCTGCTCCTCTTGTCGGCGGGCCTGTTCATCCTGTCCGCCCCGCAGCTGTTCTTCCAACCGCCGGACCTGTTCCTCCTGTCGGCGAGCCTGTTCCTCCTGTCGGCGAGCCTGTTCCTCCTTTCGGCGAGCCTGCTCCTCCTGTCGGCGAGCCTGCTCCTGCAGCATCACCATCAGAGCACCTAAGTCAGGTGCTGCAGATGTAGTAGCTACCGACGGGCCTGCAGCCGGTGACTGGCCCTCCGACGTCTGCGGCGTTGCACCACCAAATCTTCGTTGGTCCGTCTCCTGCTGGCGTTGACTTCGGGTACGGACACCCTCCGTTTCCTCCTTTGGTAAAATCGGCATTATTTTATCCCACTTCTGACACCAATTGTTACGAGCTTAGGGTTCGTGACAATAAAAATTGCCGATAAAATTACCTAAATTAACACTTTAATTTACTTTACACAAATTAAAACTTAAAACACTAATGATTAAACACACTAATTCACTTAATTCCGCTCCGAAGCTTCGCTTGTGTCGCCGAGTTCAAGTCTACTCGCTCGCATCTTGCAGCGCCTAGTTATATAAATTAGCAAAATATCCGGAATGTTCGAGTAAACACGCGCAAGGTACCGAGAGTTCGAGTTTTAAACTTCAAGAAGTTTAGTTCTTTGGTTCGAGACTAGATAGCGCTAGTGCGCCGATTTTAGCGCGTAACAGTATTAATAAGTAACAGGTTTCGTTTAGTATGTCTAAAACTACATCAACAGACTACATTTTGACGTGAATACGTCTTAAATTTTAGAGGGAGGCAATACAGAAAACTGATGATAACAAAGGCGCAGGGTACAGTTTTCTTTTTAATAGGGTAGGGTGACAAACGAGCACACAGTCCACCTGATGGTAAGTGGTTTCTGAGGCCCATAGACATCTACATCTATCCCCGACTACGAATCAGAATGCAGATGCGTTGTCACCCGTGAGGACTAAGGTGGAATGCCTCGTTTCCAGTAAAAGGGTCTCCAGTTCTCTACACTCACCACCATAAGAAACAGCAGTATTAAGCTGCTATTTGACGCTGGTATTCTGTGAGAGCGTGGTCCGTCCCCGGTCGAGCCGACTCATTCGTGCTACAACTGCTACTAATATAACTGCAGCATGGCTCTACCACGTAAGAAAATTGGTGTTGCAGCTACATATCTATCATCTACATCCAAAATTTAATCACACCATTCGATAGCTAAAGGATCAAAAATTCGTTACGTCGTGTGAGGATTATAACACGCGGCGGAGGGGGGAGCGCCGCCATTAAAGTCGTTTCGATACGTACACGTATTCACGTAAAACAGCCGTATTTTCAACACAGACACAACCCGATTTTTTCCGCGCTAAACACATTTAAGTTAGTTAATAAACTTACCTCTGCAATGTTCCAAAATAAGTGTCCTTCAAGCAATCGACGAAATTGACTAGCTTCAAACTGATCTTACGGCTTAGTTTCGACAGAACTGCGAACAAATGAAATAATCATTTACTTTTTAGAAACGGAACCAATTTATTTTATTTGGAAAACAAACTACTTAATAGTAAGACATTTATGCTAAAAGTAAGAAATCAATATAAACTTAATCCTATTAACGTGTTTTCATTTAATATTATACAGTTCTTTAGTAGTTTTTTAACTTCCCGTTATGAAAATCAATGATTTTCAAAAAATCGGGAAGTTATTGGTTTCACCCCCGTTTTCATAAATCGAGTTCTCATCAGATCTCCACGTTTGGAGATCCTAGGAAGCCGTTCTGACTATTTCTACGAGGATGTCACTATATCTATATGTATGGGTAGGTGCGTGTGGGATGGATGTATATAACCCTGTCATAACTTTTAAATGGCTTGACCAATTTGAATGAACTCTGAGGCGTGCTTTCACCAAACTATACGTGCCGCCGGCAAAACGCCCTCGATTGCTGCAAACCGCATCAAAATCGGTTGATGCATTAAAGAGAAATTGTTAACGAGGAAAGTATTTTGTTCAAATAATTTTTTTCTCGGATCGTTTTTGATGTTATAAATTAACTATGAATGCCTAAAAACTGTGTCGAACGCCGTCAAGTTTGTCAAAATCGGTTGATTTGTTCGTAAAATATTCAAATTTAAAAAAAAAACGTAGTGTTTCACAATTTATCATACTATACAACGTCATAATAGGTGGAATTTTGAGCGCTTTGCATTTGAAATTAGCAGGAAGTTCAAGGGATGGCCTGTAGGGTAAATCGTATTTTTTTATTATTATAGGGTACATATTTTCCCTATTGACATTTCAATCGTCTGGTATGAAAGAGAGAGAGAGAGGTTTATATTTATAGTTATATAGTAGTACCATAGTTGTCTGGTAGGCGGGAGTTTTCATTATTTTTAGGTGTTATCAGGAAGATCGCATCTAACAACATCCAGGTTATTATATGAGGTAGTAGATTCCATTACGCCGTCACTAAACCGCATCAGGCTTACTACGTTATGGTCAAATATCCGTAACTTCTTTAGTCGACTGCAAGCGGACAAGAAAACCAGTTTTTTGTTATGTAAACCGCGAACGTCGTTTTCGATAATCTAACACTGATTTTGTTAAGAAAACGTTGTCATTATTATGTACGCACGTGCTTTTTTTCAGACAAGTATGTAATTTTATTTCGTATTCATCCAAAAACCCATACTGTCGTAAATGAAAATACAAACTGTGTGACATATTTACCGCTACAGCCGGCGTTCACACCACCACCAACAACAGCTGTAACACAGTTTCTGTTCTTTATTGCCGGTCTAGTAGCATAAATCAGAAGTTTTTGTATTACAAGATACAAACATTGCATTTAATTTGACGGCTCCGTGGCGCAGTGACTTAGCAATGAGTTGCAGCGCTAAGGGCCGCGGGTTCGAATCCCGCTCGTAACAAGTATTTGTATGGTCTAAAAGTAATTGTTTCGGGTCGGGAAATTTGTCCTTGTGAAGTTTATTTACCTAAACTCGTTGGCCCCCACGATACAGAAAAGAATCCTATTGTTTTAAAACAAATTATATTGTAGACAAGTATAACCGCCTTACTTATACAATATGTAAATTAATTTAACGCACACCCATAATACATTACACAGAATTTTTAGTTAAACATTTTTATGCACTGATTATTTATCAAATTAGTTATACTAATTCCGGAAGAACGTTGTGGCCACAGTACAAATCCACGAACTCAAAGACTTTAACGTGCTTGAAATAAAGTTAATTTTTCTTTATTTTTATTGAATGACAGAATTAGTAATAATACAAATAAAACTGCACTCTTAAAAGTCTTATTGCCTTAAGTTACGGTCCATTTCAGTTTGTTTCGACTGTACAGATTTAGCGTGACTATAATTTACGTAGTTTTAATTATTTTTGGGATAAAAAATTACCTATATTAAAAATGATAGGAATCGATTTAGTAAACGATTCTGAACAAACTACTTTCTCAAAGTGCGTTAATTATGTTACGTGTTGTATATTACATAAATATCATAAATTTAAGAAATGCGTAAAGTGACAGTACCAAAGTTAACGAAGGCTACCTTCAACTCTTAGATATTTAATCCGATCTGCGTAAAGCGGACGTAAAACTAGTTTTAATGTGTAGTATTCACGTGAATATAAGAAATTACCACCGGGATCGAAATCTGTTTCCCAAGCGATTTCAACATCAGCATTGTGACTTACCAGTCTGTTGTACATCGAGCGAGGCCTGCTTGATGGATATGTTGGCGTTGTTGGTGCAAGTTGTGGTGGTGAGGTTGGTGGTGTTGGTGATGTTGGTTACGTTGGTGAGGTTGGTGGCGCTAGTGTCGAGCGTTCCGGCCCAGCCTCGCCCGCTGCCCGACAGCGAGAAAACTTCAGACTCGTTCTCCACTCGTATCATGCCGATCTGAGAGACCAGCGATGTCGCGTCATCTGATTTTGGCTGAAATACAACAACACATATATCTCTTCAGTACCATATCCTGACGCGTGGGTTTTTTACATAACTAAAGATGACAATCGAACACACAGTCCACCTGATGTAAGTGAATGTTGTGGCCCATTCACCTACATATATCTTTGATTACGGGTCTGAGGACTAAGATGAACAGACTCATTACTAGTAAAACGTGCCTCCAATTCTCTACACTCACCATAGAAAATACAACAGCATTAAGCTGCTATTTTATGCTAGTAATAGCTTTGTCATTCCCCTGTCTATATGAACCATTCATACTACCATAAAATAAACTATTGCAGCATTGCTCTTATACGGGAAACTCACCGTAGGCCCTTTTTACTGGAAATGAGGCAGTCTATCGGACTGTTTATAACATTAATGTATATTATAAAATCATAGGTATATTTAAAAGTATATTGATTGTGTATACAGAAATCAACTATTTACATATACTATTTTATATTTACATAGTCGGGTCATATGTTTTGGGCCGGCTATATAGCGCCCTACGCTATCTCGTTCTCGTTATATAAAATAAAACATACTAAGAGGTTGTTCAAATACTATTTTATAATATGCATTTAAATATGTTTACGAATTTTATTGTTTCTAAACGCTGCATTTAATGTCCTTTAGACCGAATTTCGATCACGGCGGCCTGCCTCAACAGAGACTAGCCATCGGCGCAGGACAGGATTATAGTGCCCAAGTGTATGCGCAGGCACAGGTGCACTCTCTATTCCCTCACTCTCATAATCCTCATAAAACCGACATGAACGGAGCGAAATCAGACGCAGTACCAACGGCTTTACTGCTATCCGGGGCACGGGGGTAAGGCACCGCCAACTTCATGACTTCGGGCAGCTACTGAGAATTTCTTGACCGAAAACCTCAACAATTGATTTTTTTTCCCAACCAGGATTCATACCCAGGACCTCATGATCAGCAGTCGTACTACTACAACCACTAGACCAACGCTGCATTTATACTAATTATAAATCACACTCTAAAGTTTTTACAACAAACATGTTATCTGCCTGAGTCACGGTTAACTTAGGTCTACAACTTTTTTACTTTCTTGTCTTCTGTAGTTAAGAAGAGATAAAAAATCTAATAATCCAAGTGTGGAAAATATCTTCCTACGAGGCAATCTAAGAGAAGACCTATGTTCAACAGTGGATGATGACAGGCTGTAATGATGATGATGATTATGATGATGACAAATATTTAAAAGAATTTTACTTAACTTTCAAAAGAACTCACCTTCACTCGCCTGTAACACTCACTGACACTCAAACTCTCGTCATTGGACTGAATGATCTCATAGTCGTCAAAATTGTAGCTATCGTAAGACACAGCCTCCTCGACGTCGGATTGCGACGAGTCCCTCCGATCAGAATCAATCGGATCAGACAGGTCGGTACGATTTTTCCGATCGCCGATTTGGAGGGACACCGCTGGACTGCTCCTCGTGGAGTAGAAGATCGAGTTCGATATAATGAAACGCTTGTCTTGATGACATGGTAGATCTGGGGAGCAAAATACTAATGGTATTGTACAGTGATAACCAAACCCTTTGCAATATTTTGCATACTTCTTCCCCCAGCTATGTAACATAGTAGACTGTATACTCATTATAATCTAGTTATAGTATATATTATTATTATTATTAAACTTAGAAATGAGGATATCCGCAGTAGAACTAGAGTGAACGAAATAGCGCAACGGATTAGTAAGCTGAAGTGGCAATGGGCCGGCCATATAGCTCGAAGAAACGATAACCGATGGGAAAAACGGTTCTCCAGTGGCAGCCTCGTACCGGTGGGAGTAATGTAGGGCAACCACCACTAGATGGAGTAACGACCTGTTAAGACATGCGGGAAGTCGATGGATGCAGAGGTGGCTCAGGACTGTGCTTTTTGCATTCCCTGGGGGAGTTCTATGTTCAGCAGTGGACTTAAAGAGCTGTAATTATGATAAAGGGTGACAAACGAGCGCATAATCTACCTGATGGTTAGTGAATACTACGGCCTATAGGCATCTTCATCTATCCTCGAATAAGAATCAAAATGCCGATGCGTTGTCGGACTAAGATGGAATGCCACGTTATCAGTAAAAATGGTTCTCTACTCACCATACGAAACACAGCAGCGTTACGATGCTATTTTACGCTGGTATTCTTTGAGAGCGTGGTCCAAACCCGGTTAAGCCGACCCATTCATGCTACAAAACATAATATAGTTGCATTAGGGCTCTACCACGTATAAGACTACGAATGAATCGTGTTTATTTCATTGAATGATCATACCATCAACGCTCCAATCCATGTTGTTTATTTCTGAACGCATTTCGTGCAATACCTCTTGCATTATTTGAACTAGCTCCTGTTTCTTCTCGCCTTGTGAAAACTTCTCGTTTATTACCTGTGAATTACACTCAATAAATCATAAGAACGAATGAAATAAATATTATAGTCTGGCCGCTGAGTTATTACCGATTTGACACATGACGAATTGACAATACTAGTGAAGTGACTGAACCAGTAACCCTAATATCATTTGGGAACAGTTTGTTTTTAAATATTCTAGTATAGTGTGTAATTAAATAAAATCAAAACAATAATAGTTAAAGACACAGGTTCTTTATTAGGTGGAGTATCCTTGATGGGCGTAGATAATTGGTCGAGGACATATCAAAATAAAACAAATTTGTAAACACTGTTACACATTTTAATTAATAGAGTAGGTACAAGATGTTTTAATAAATTACTACCTATCATTTATTAAAACAATTATTCAGACTCTGAACCAGATTCGCCAGAGCTGTCATCGCTATCAGTCACTTGTATGACAATTTCATTCTCTATAATGGTGTCCACTCTTATATCGCGTTCATAATCTTCTGTTATTAGTTTTCGAGTCTTTTCGACGACCTTGACCCAATCTTCTTTCGTTATTTTGGTGCAAGCATCTTTTAATAGACCCACCATTTTATTAGTACTGAATGGCGGAGTCGTATTATTACGAGCTGCGTAACCTGTAATGTAAACATTAAATAACGTTAATTTATTACATTAAATAAACGAAATGTTACACAATTATCTACATGTAAGGGACATGAGATATTTATTTCTTAGTTATGTATCTTTTTACTTATATGCTGAATATTGGATGTTATAATAGTACAAATTATTCATATTCATAACTTATGCGATAAAAAACAATACCTTTGATTTGTGCCCATATTAGCTCAATGGCATTGTACTGGCAGTGACAAGGCGGAATTCGAAGTACCCGATGTCCATGTGCTAGAGCTATCTCATCTACTTCATAATGGACTCTTGATGTTTTATTTTCGCGTACCAAATTTACTAAGTCAGACTTTAGCATTTCGGCAGTAGTTTCAATTCCATTTTGGTGTTGCCGTGCTACGAGATCAGCTTTCTTGTCGGCCTGAATAGGCGCTTTATTCACTAGTTTCGAGTGATATGAAGCGTTGTCCATTATTATGATAGAAGGCTCTGGCAGGCTGGGTAATAATTGATTTTCGAACCAATTCGTGAAAGTGTCTGTATCCATCTCCTCGTGGTAATCGGAAGTACTTTTTGACGCGAAAGCCAGCAGTCCATTTTCAAAGAAACCACTTCCAGCAGAACCGGCGTGACAAATTATCAGTCGCGATCCTTTTCCAATTGGAACCTTTGAAGTTGATGCTTTTGTTTCGTCAGTCCAAGAGCGTGACACAGTGTGGTTCGCATTTAACCATATTTCGTCAACAAAAACGACGTTGTCCCAAGACTCGATTTTTCTGGCTTCTCTTAAAAACTCGCTCCTTTTAATTATTAAATCAAATCTTTCCATTAATATTTTCCTTTTATTCGTTTTTTTTATATTCAAACCCAATTTCGTGCAATAGTTTTGACAACGCCGTTTTACCGCCTTTAAACAAGCCAGCTTCTTTTAAAGAGACCTAAAGCAAACATCTAGTTGGAAACTCGTTCCTAGTATAATAACCAAATATGTGGTTTCTTATTGCATCTGCATCAAAAACATCAACACCTGTCACGGGCTTTTGTCTTCGTTTTTTCTTAGGAGTGCGTAAAACATTATCTTCACTTCCAGAAGCACCAAATTTTTCTTTATTTATATTATATAGTGTTTTTGCACCAATTCCAAGAGCTTGTGAAACCCGATCTTTCACTTGAGTGACAGGAATCAAAGGGCCGCCATTTTGTGACTCACGCTCAAAGTAATCCTGTAGCTTTAGTACAAGCTCACGACATTGACTATTCAATGTTTTTCCTCGTTTCGGTATTTTCAACAAAATTACCAAACACAAACAAAATTAGTCCAATAAAGCGCAACGATAAACAGGAGAAAGCCGAGACAAAAAACAACGGTTACACAAGAGAACGTAGTCTGTGCGCACGAGAGTACGGTAGACGACTAAACAGATTAAAATAGCGGTGGTAAGGGTGTTGCCAGAATAGTATCGCCAATTACTTAAAAAAATACACCTATAACATTGCTTAATTGAGGGAGAAAATTATATTTATTAAATGTTGTTTTATATATTATGAACGTTAAAAATTATACATAATCATTTTAATTGTATTTATTTTTAAATCATAGAAAACAGTATTTCTGTCTTTGGATCACACATAAATCTTAAAAATCATAGAGATACTGGCAACACAGTGCAATTAGGAGACGCAAAAAAATGGTAGCATTATAGTCTAGTTGCTCGAAGGAATAAGTAAAATAAAAATATCCAAATAAAATAAATATCATATCTATTCCAATGAATTCGGACCGAATACTATCAAGCACATCACTATGAAAACTAGACGCACGATGTAACTTTGTACAAGCGCGCCAAAGAACAAAAAATAAATGTTTTCATATTATTTACAAACTATTTTAAGTTTTGAAACAGAGTTTATTGGAAAATTACTTGATTCTGACATTTTGACATAAAATTTTATATTAAAGAGGTATTCTAAATCATTCGGCAAATGTGTCGCTCGTGCAAGGTTATATCGCTTAATTTAAGAATAATCTGTCAAATCGGTAATAAATCAGCGGCCGTACTATAACTAAATGTTTAAATGATCAACTACATGACCTAATTTGATATGACCTAATTCAATCTTTAAGGTATTTAGCCATGGAAGGAAAAGGAAAAATCTCTCACCGGGCAAGCTTCCGCGTGTTAAGTACGAAGCTATTCTATTTTTTTAAAGCATAAGGGTGGAAAACGAGCACTCAGTCCACCTGAGGGTACGTGGATGCTGTGGCCCATAGACATCTACATCTATCCTCGATAACAAATCAAAATGCAGATGCGTTGTAAAACTCTACATTCACCAAACGAAACACAACAGCGTTAAGCTGCTATTTAACGCTGCTATTTAACGCTGTTATTCTTTGAGAGCGTAGTCCTTCCCCGGTCGAGTGGACCCATTCGTGCTATAACTATACCAGTAATATAGCTGCAGTATGGTTCTACCACGTTTCGAAGTACCACGCAGTACTTCGAAACTTTGATAGCGTGATCTAGGTTTCGATGAGTTTCGCTTGTGGCGCGACGACAGCACCGTCATAGGTTCATCGTTGCTAATCCATTCCATCTATCCAATACGGCCTATACAAGTCCACAGCTAAACATAAACCTCCCCATGATTAAAACTACTTTTACAGATTTTATCGCGTTTATTTTTGCTTTTAATTACTTTTATTTTTAATTCCCGACGTTTCGGGCGCTTTCCAGCACCCGTGGTCACGGGGGACTGAGATGACTGACGTCCCGATGTCATTGTTAAACCCGGAGTACCTTCAGCTTTTTTATATTGGACAAACAAAAAGATCAATTAGAACCCGCGTAAAAGAACATATAGCTGATGTGAAGCATCAACGTTTCGGGAAGTCTGCAGTTTGTGATCATATCCTAGAAGGCCCCAACCATTACATCAGATTTGATAGACCACAAATCCTCGCGAAAGAACACCGATTCCTACCAAGGATGATACGTGAGGGTATTGAAATTAAAAAACATCCTAATTTCAATAGAGAAGGAGGCTGGGTACTACCACCTGCTTGGGATCCTATAATCAATAAAATTAAAACTACCCAAGCATACCACTGCAAGACCTCAGGGCATAGTCAGTTCATTTTGCATAGATCAGACCATAAACAATAATCAAAAAAGCTGAAGGTACTCCGGGTTTAACAATGACATAGGGACGTCAGTCATCTCAGTCCCCCGTGACCATGGGTGCTGGAAAGCGCCCGAAACGTCGGGAATTAAAAATAAAAGTAATTAAAAGCAAAAATAAACGCGATAAAATCCGTAAAAGTAGTTTTAATCATGTGTAGTGTTCGCGTAAATATAAGAAATCATTATATAAGCCTCCCCCATAAATTGCATCATAGAGGGGATTTCGCCATGGCTGCCACGATTGGCAGACGGAATGGTAGCCGTAGTTTTTTATTTTCTTCATGTAATTAGGAAGACGCTGCTGCCCATCACCTGGTTTGTTTCCCACTGTCAATTCTTACGACACCCACGAAACGATATGGGGGAGTGGATATCCTTACACCGCATATACACATATTCTTACACCGCCACTACACGGTTATCTATATTGTTAATATAACACACTAGTACTACATTAGTCAACTCACCTCATACAACTGTTGCTCCTGTTTCGCCACGTATTGTATCTTCTTAGGCACGACTTGAAGTTCGCGGGCCATATCGAATGAAGCCAATATAAACTGTTGCAGGAGTTTCACGTGCACCTAAATATAATAATAGATATTTTAATTTCGCTGTAATAATAATAATGTCCTCCAAACCGAATTTCGGTCACGGTGGCATGTCTCCACAGAGACTAGTTATTTGCGCGAGACATGATTATAGTGTCCCACTCTCTACTCCCTGTTATAGTTCGATGCGAGGGCAGTCCGACATGACCAAATCAGATCAGGTGCAGGATCAACGGCTGTACGTGCGTTCCGAGGCACGGGGCTTAATTTCTAGACTACTGATTTTGGCACGATCCGGAAATCGAACTTGGGACTTTTGTCAGTAATCGCGTGAATCAACTAGGCAGTTACCGTAATAAACGTGTGGTGGCGGTGTATGAGCTTCCATCACCACATTTAGTGACTTGGGTATCTTAAAAGGCAACTATGGGATAGACCTGAAAAATTTTACTGCAATATACGAGTACTATAAACTAATGATATCTTAAATTAACGCGAACACTACACATTGAATAAAACCACTTATACGAATTTTATCACGTTTAATTAACTTATTTCTAATTCCAGAACCAAAAAAAACAATATTCTAAAACTGAAGGTAGCCAGGCTAACTATGACATCAGGACGTCAAACATCTCAGTCCCCCCCCCCTCCGTGACCGTGGGTTCTGTAAAGCACCCAAAATCAAAACGCCCGGTATTGAAAACAAGTTAATTAAACGCGATAAAATCAGAATAAGTAGTTTTATTCAATCCTACAATCTAGCTTTAAATAGATGATGGTATTACCAACTCGTTTATCATTCTACCCATTACAGCCTATAAAAGTCTATTGATGAGCATAGGTATCCCCTATAGATTGAGTCATAGGGGGGATTTAGCCATGTTTACCACGCTCGGCACCCGCGAGTTGGCAACCACAGTTATTTTATTACTTTGAGTTGCTAACGGGAAGATGCTGCTGCTTATCTCTAGTTTCAATTCCCAACTGTCGCCTCTAAAGCGGGGAATTACCGGGGACACCAGACAGACACGCCCACGGGCTGTTTGTCCGGGCATGTCTGTCGTCGCAATACACTACACGGACTCGTCAGTTTGTAATAGACCGGCTACGTGATTAGTTGAGCGTGCACATTAAGATGACAACCTAGACTTTCTATGCTTGTTATTTATTTGTTATTAATTTGGTGCAAAGAATAAGTATAAAATAGAATTAGGAATTATTGAACCAGTATACAATTACATGCGCATGGATATATAGTCGTATAAGATGATATTAAAACAATAGCTGGTCCAAACTGGAGATAAGTAGCTCAAGACAGAGTCAAATGGGCATCACCGGAGGAGGCCTTTACCCATTTTGGGGTTCCGGTAGATTAAATAAAAATAAGATTAGACAGATAAATATATTATTATCAAAATAGTTATAGATATATTATAAGTAAATAGATAAATATAAATTTATGAAAGCTCATACTACACAATAGTTAAATAAAGCATTAGTTATATAAATATTGTTAAATAAGTATTATCATACAGGTACATATACTTTAAATACAGATAAATCTATATTAAGTGAGTAATAAATAAATAACATAGAGTAAACCAAACTAACACATGCATAGATTATAAGTAATGTAAATTTACAGGAAATAAAAGGCTTTTTATTTTATTTATTTATTAAGCTGTTTCCAGCATATTTTATTATAATTAAAACTCATTGCAAAATAAAAATCACCAAAGTTCATTAAATAATAATAAAAGGCCCTCTGAACTGGTTGCCGTCGCTCTTGTGTCTGTGAACAGACAGCCCGCAGTCAACACACACATTCAGGTACGTCCGTGCCCGCGCAGAACAAATGAGATCAGGCCAACGGGCCAGAGCGATGGCGACGGTCCTACACTATCAAACTTTGCATGGACCTATAGTAGGCTAAGTCCGGCGGGCATGTCTGCAGACTGCCCGCGGGCAAGTCCGTCTAGTGAATTCCCCGCTTAAAAACACCCACGGGCCGATAAGGGGTAGTGGATATTCTTACAACACCAATCGTTTACACCAGACTCAAAATTCTCTGACCGGCAACTAGCAGCAGCGTCAAAGTTAAAATCATCAGTCAGCTAATCCTAATAGGTTGTAGGACTCCTTTTCTGACTCGGAATCCGCCTGGGGTAGATACCACCCTCTTACCTATTCCTGCCACTAAATAGCACTGCTTGCATTGCTATGTTCCAGTCTGAAAGGCATTAAGGGCCATAATTAAAGGCTGTGAGACATTCCATCTTAGTCCTCAGAGGTGACAACCTACTTTGACAATGGCTGCAGGTGTCCATGGTCTGCAATAACAATAATAATGTCCTCCAGATCGAATTTCGGTCACGGCGGTCTGCCTAAACGGAGACTAGCCATAGGCGCGGGTCAAGATTATAGTGTCCGAGTGGATGAGCAATCACAGGTACACTTTCTATTCCCTCACTCTCATAATCCGATGGGACGGTAAACCGACATGACCGGAGAGAGATCAGGTGCAGGACCCGCGGTTATACGTGCTTTCCCAGGTACGGCGGTGAGGCACCGCCAATTTCCTGGCCCCGGGCAGCTTCTGAAAATTCCTGGACAGAAATACTCAATAGTTGATTTTTTGTCCCAAACCGGGATTCGAACCCAGGACCTCATGATCAGCAGTTGCACTACTACAACCACTAGACGAACGAGGCAGTCCAACTGCAGTAACCACTTGCCATCAGGTAGGCCGTTAGTTCGCTTGGCACCTCTATTTTATAAAACCAGCTGTTGATAGCCACCCGTGGTAGCTCAGATGGTTAGCGCTCGCTGTAAATTTCACAATACGCAAGCAAACCGGGTTCGATCACCGCCAGCACCAATGAAATTGTTAATTGCAATTTTAAGTGCTGATTTACCACGTGCTCGGCGGTGAAGGAAAACATCGTGAGGAAACCTGCATGTCTGAGAAATAAGAAAAAAAATATTTCAGACATGTGAAGTTCGCCAACACGCATTGGGGCAGCGCGACGGACTATTCCTTGCCCTAAAACCCTCTCAGAAATGAGAGGAGGCCTGTGCCCAGCAGTGGGACGTATATAGACTGTAACTTTACTTTTTAACTTTACAGCTGTTGATTGTGATAGTATGATAAAGAATAAAGTATAATAATCAAATACTCAAACATTGCTCGATTTCAAGACGCCGTAAAGTCTCGTTCTGTCTCTATCATTTTAAGTCAAAGTGACAGAGACACCACTAGATTTAAGATCTTAAAATTAATTTAATTGACGTTTGAATATTTGGCCATACAAGTCCACAGTGCAACACTCACCTCACTTAACCTTGTACAATGTTCCAAAAGATGACTCTGAGAGCAATCCGTAGCGAACTTTAATACGGAATTCAAAAATGTGGGCCGATTCTTCAGAGCCCTATCGTTGTCCTCGCGACGTCTCTTCGCTAATGTTTCGCCGGTGTACGCATTGCAATCATTTGAGTTTGGTGCATTAGCTTTCTGTTCGGCTGTACGCAGAATTTCGGTGTCGTCTAGTACTGCCCATTGGCTCTTCACGTGGTGCTTTGGAGGTGGTCTAACTGGAAGATAAATTTGTTTTTGGTAAGTAGATTTTGTGACCTAAAGATACATTTGTCTGTCGGTAAAGCAAAAAGCAGATGCGTTGTCACCCCTGCGGACTAAGATAGAACGCCCCAGAAATTCCAGTAATAAGGGTCTCCAGTTCCTTACACTCACCACACGAAACACAGCAGCATTAAACTACTATTTCATACTGGTATTCTGTGAGAGCGTGGTCCTCCTCAGGTCTAGCCGAGCCATTCGTGTTACACCCACGAATTAATTAATGAATGAATCATTATTAGTCAATGTATGAAAAATTATGTCCTTACGAACGATTTTAAACTTTAATTGCAAGAGCAATAAAGTAGATATTAATTGTGCAAGAGAAATCATAGGAGTCCCTGTCCCTTAATATATTTTGAACCTAAATCGAACTTTAATTAAAGTTAGCCTAGTTTGACCACTGATTTCAGATAACCAAACAAGTTTGTGTTATGTAAAGTTAAAGTTAGTAAAATATGTAATTTTTGTTTGTAATGGAAATAAATAATTATTAAATTATTATAATTATATTTTGAGCTTAAATCGGCGATATTCTTAGATAACCCATCCAACAATTTTTTATATATTTCTGCTTTTATTAAAACAATTATGAAAGCTAATAAATTTAATAATATTGTATTATATATACTAACATATCAACTCCCACTGGTCAAGCAGTTCATTCATAAATGCAATTTGTTCTTCGTGCAGTCTTCTATTAAACATGGGTTTATTTTGTTCCGGCGATTCCTCTTTATGCCTGGCGATATTAGAAATGTACATTATGATAAATGAATTGAAATCAAAAGAAAATTATAAAAATATATGATATCAATCTGCGATTGCCAATCACTCAAGTGTGCCAACTATGTCAGATATCCTCCGATGAGCCAATCTATGGGGGAGGCCTATGTTCAGCAGTAACCTTTGATAGGCTGTAACAATACTGATTGGTGTATTTCCTGTTAATTAAGTCTTTGAGCCATGGTAGCTCAGATGGTTGACGCTCGCTGTAAATATAACAGAACGCGAGTAACCCGGGTTCGATCCCCGCCAGCACCAACGAAATTGTTAATTGCAATGTTAAGTGCTGATTTACCACGTGCTCGGCGGTAAAGGAAAACATCGTGAAACCTGCTTCTGAAATAAAAAAAATATTTAGAAGACATGCGAAGTTCGCCAACACGCATTGGGGCAGCGCGGCGGACACTTCCATGCCCTAAAACCCTCTCAGAAATGAGGGGAGGCCTGTGCCCAGCAGTGGGACGTATATAGGCTGTAACTTCAAGTCTTTGAGAATTTCTCCCATTAACATTTCATAGTTTTTATCATGCTCGAAGGACCAAGATAACAATTGAAATAAAAATTTTACATGATGAACAATATGCTGGCAAAATTTTTGAAAGATCTGCCATAAAAAACAAAATAACAATTTGTAAAAATGTACCTAAGCACACCATCCTGTATTAAAACTTGATCTGACTCCGGCAATTCCTCAGCATTAAATCTATTCTCGGTAGATTCTGTAGCCTCCACACAAAGATGCAGTCTTTGCTCTACTTCTTCGGGTTTTCTTTTGTCTTCTGCAAGAATGTCCGTGCTGTCCGAGAAGAGAACGAAAAATACTTGCGAGTTTGGATTGAGCTCTTTTATTTGGTAGAAGTCCAGGCAGTTCTGTAAACAGTACATAATGGATGCCAAATACATCGCCAGTTGGGTCGAAATACGAAAATTTATCGAGCAAATTGGCGATATATGCGACGAGCACGTTTGTCTAAATGTAATATGAATTTAAAAAAGTGAGGTGTGGTGTGTCATAATGTGTAGCATAATCTGCGGGCTGTAGTAGCTGCATACTATCGTTTTTATTGGATAGGACACTTTAGCCCATTGAAATACTTTTCAATAGTTATCAAAACAAACAAGTCGGTGAAAAAAATACTGATATAATTTTTGCCAATAAACGAGTTCTTTCGGGTTTACCTTTATAACCATATAAAAAAATCTAAAGACAGTTTTTCTGTATTCTTTTTTACGATGGTGACCCACCCCAGCTAACCAAACACAAAATATTATAATACACAATAGAATGTCTCCTGTGTCACAATAGAATGTAGGCTGTCAACTTTATTTTGTACGAGGATTGGCGTCGCCAAACCCGATTCGCTGTGTTGACAGACTGAGTAAATTTACACATTTTAGACTTTTGATTAATGTTCAAGATCATCATTAAAAAAATCGTTTAAATTTTAATACATATATATATTTGTAAATAGTGTGCAATTTGGCATTTTCTAAATAATTTGCATGCGAAATTTGAAAACGATTGTAACGTCAAAGCACATCTCGTTTTGACATTTATACGTGTCAATTGACGTATTAGTGACATTTTAGTGGCTACGCGGGCTCCACCCACTCCCCCATTCTATTATGTATGTATTATAGTATTCTATGTAACCAAACCAAACCAAACCGCATAAATACTCGTTAGTTAATTCAAAAGTTTAAATCGATATTTTTTAATAAAAGTAAGAATGATAAATGAGTGACAGCTATGCCACCTATGTTGTAGCACAAATAGATCGGCCCGACGAAACGCTCACAGTATACCTGTGCGTGAAATAACAGCATAATTCTGTGTTTTTGTTTTGATAAGTGCAGACAACCGGAGATACTTTTTACTGGAAACGAGGCATTCTATCTTATTTTTAGGGGTGACAGCACTTTTGCATTTTGATTCTTAAACGAGGATAAATGTCTCTGGGCCACAGAATCCACTAATCATCAGATGGATTGTGTGCTCGTTTGTAAGTCCTACTCTATAAAAACGCTAGTGCTCTGTGCAACTTAAAAGTTTTGGTAGGTATTATTTATATTTCGGTTATTCTATTATTTCGGTTACAGTTATGTTTCTAAATATTCTACAAATAAACCTACCTCCGCTGTAAAAACAGCCGGTTCGCCACGAAAATCCTTCCACTCACTATCATCACAATTATCACCAACCACACCGTCACCACAATCTCCACATACAACACTATCGCCACTATCACCAACACGAGTCATGTAGTACAGGTTGAAAGTCGACCAAAAATCGTCCTCACTCCTTGCAACTATCCTGCTATCACTTATGTTATCACTGAATATATTCCGTCCTATTCTGTCCACAGCATACAAATAGACAGGGCTGTAGTTTTTTAGGATCTGGTCTCTCTTCTGGTAAAGTTCCGAATGTATTTCTTTCAGCTTAATGTAGTCAGTGTCGCCAGTTTCCGTGTCAATATACGGAGGCACTATGATGCGGAGACCGTCCTTTAGAAGTGGATTGTTTATCTCCACTTCCAGCATCGTTGCAAGGTCAGCTTGGTCTTGTCGGAGTAGATCCTGAAATGAGAAAAGTTATTTGTGAGACTGCCCCAGACGAACGAGGTAATGTTTTTCGAGTGTATGTAATACAAACCTGCATATCACATACGTACGTTATATGTGTGTGTAAGTTTATATCTATGGCACGCTCTGTAGCCTAAACATCTGAATGTAATAATAATAATAATAATAATGTCCTCCTGGTCGAATTTCGGCCACGGCGGCCTGCCTCGACGGAGACTAGCCATCGGCGCAGGACACGATTATAGTGCCCAAGTGTATGCGCAAGCACAGGTGCACTCTCTATTCCTTTACTCTCATAATCCGATGGGACGGTAAACCGACACGACCGGAGAGAGATCAGGCGCAGGACCAATGGCTTTACGTGCTTCCCTAGGCACGGGGGTGAGACGCCGCCAACTTTCTGACTCCGGGCAACTACTGAGAATTTCTTGACGGAAAAACTCAATAATTAATTTTTTGGGCCGACCCGGGATTCGAACCCAGGACCTCATGATCAGCAGTAGCACTACTACAACCACTAGATCAATGAGGCAGTCATATGAATGTATTTTAACATAAGGAGTGTCATTAGATTTGCCTTAATTGTGGAGGTGACATAGGATATAGTGTTTTTGGTTGCGCGGAAAAAACGGGTACTCTCGCATTTTGTTTTAGATTAGTATCTATCTAGCCAGTGTCTCTCTCCATCCCATTCACACATTCCTTCCACACACACACAGAAAGTGGGGGAAGCTACAATGTGGCGTCATATTTTCGGCCAATAAGAAGCGCGCCCCGCCGAGATGGAAGTGCTAGATATGGCCGACCAATAATAAGGACCACCCTGCCGCCACTTGTTCTTCTTGCATTGTCGTTGAAGACCAACGGTAGGTGTGTTTGCACCTCTGTGGCAGTCACGCCACAGAACAATCTATAAGTCACCACCTCGCAAAGTGCAAGTTATCGTCGCGCACCACCGCTCTCTTTCCAATACCATGAGCGTCGTCCTCGAGGCCGCCGGCAGAAGGAACCCCACCCCGGTAAGTGCTGCTTAGATTGCCTTGAGCTGTTTATTTTCTTTGATATGTTTTCTTCCCACTAACAGCTCAAGTAGAATCCCATCTCGGGACACTGGCTAAATAATAGATTGGGATAGCGAGTGCATCGTCTTAGACTGCCACGCATCAGCCATCTTGTTTGGTTATAGGTAACCACGTATACGGTCCACCAATAAAATCGATCCCGCATAATAAGGTTTTGGCTCGACCCAGGAATCAAATTAGAGATCACCGCATCATTTTCTGGTCATAAGCGCGACCATTTTCTGGTTCTTCGAACTGGATTAGAATTGGGGCAATTGGCTCCACCAGTTTTTCTCTATTCAGTTTACTTTTTATGCCATAGGGCTATATTATCTACTATTTTATCCATTGGGTTTGTTATTTTATTATTTTGGAAAACTAAGCTGTACAAAAATTATCAAGTAATTAATAAATATAAATAAGTAGAGGAGGAAGGCCAATTTCAAGTTTTTACAGATATAATAAAAACTGTATAACATATAATAAGTTGGATGTATAATAATAATAATAATAAAACAACATCGCATATCATAGAGCTCAACTGAAAAATTAACTATAATTAATTTTTAAGTAGATTAGTTCTTACTTAATCCAGGTCACAGTTATTTGTTGAGCACTAGCTCGTAATTATTGATGAGTATGCGTACCAAGGATAAATTGTCCAACCACCTGGTTGGACAATTTATCCTAAGACCAAATACGACCAGGAGGTTAATCGACAGACGGCTTGGCAGCGTTCAGGAGATCACGACAAATCTTCTTGTCACATACAATTCAAAAGTTGAAAACAAAAGTGTAAAAGCATTGCGTGTTGCGTAATGACATAACATTATTTAATCTGGGGTATTGGACTTTACGCAGCCACTTAAATGACCTTTTATATTATATTATATTTGGATCATTTATAAGTCAGTGCTTGACTGACTTACAAAAGGGAAGTACTAGGCTGCACTAAAAGTATCGGGAATGGAATATTTCCACTGTTCCTGTCATATTAAAATCTTTTTTAATTGAAAACTCCTTGGTTTTAAAAACCGAATACCATTTATTTATTTTAAAAAAAGAATCTCGGTCTTGTCACAAGGTTTTGTCAAACTTGTTTAGTCGTTGAGAAAATGGAATTGACTCGAGAAAATTCAAGAGCGATGATTTATTATGACTTTCGAAGTGGTTTAACACAAAAACAGTGTGTTGACCGGCTGATTTCTGCATTTGGTGATGAAGCCCCATCCAAAACCACAATTTATCGCTGGTTTGCTGAATTTCAACGTGGACATGTCAAGCTCAGTGATGATCCCCGTCAAGGTCGTCCAAAAACTGCAGTCATCCAAGAAAACGTTGATGCTGTGCGTAAGCTGATTGAGGAAGATCGACATGTGACATACCGCGAAATTCAGGCAACTTTAGACATTGGCATGAGTCAAATACAAATAATCTTGCATGAACAATTAGGTGTAAAAAAGTTGTTTTCCCGATGGATACCGCATTCGCTCTGTGAAGAGCAAAAAAGCGGCTCGCGTTACTCAGTCGTCGCGTTAGTCAGGTGCGTCAGAACTCTCGAAAGATTCCACGCAGGATCCTCAAATGCTGTATACAACATCGTATCAGGTGACGAAAACTGTATATACGCGTACGAACCCGAAACAAAAAACCAGTCACGAGTTTGGGTGTTCGAAAATGAGTTAAAGCCAACAAAAATTGTTCGTTCACGGAGTGTTGCAAAAAATGGTGGCCACGTTTGTCTCCAAAACCGGCCATGTTACGACTATTCCTCTTGAGGGACAAAGAACGGTTAATGCAGAATGGTATGCTAGCATTTGTTTGCCACAGGTCGTTTCTGAACGCACACAGAACAAAAGAGTTTTTAGAGCAAGAAAACATAGAATAATTAGACCATCCGCCGTACAGCCCCGACCTAAGCCCTAATGATTTCTATACTTTCCCTAAAATAAAGAATAAATTGCGTGGACAGAGATTTTCATCACCTGAAGAAGCTGTGGACGCCTACAAAATGGCCATTTTGGAGACCCCAACTTCCGAATGGAATGGTTGCTTCAATGATTGGTTCCATCGTATGGAAAAATGTGTCAAATTTCGCGGAGAATACTTCGAATAGCATAAACATAAACACTCACGCCTGTCACCCAGAGGGGTAGGCAGAGACTACGGACTTCCATTTGGCACGATCCTGACATACCTCTTTCGCCTCCTTTACATCCATATATCTACGCATACATGCTCGTCGGTTAAGGGTACTTCTAACGTGGCCCATTTTCAAAATATCGCCAATTTGGTCGATAAACTTTTTCCTAGGGCGTCCCTTCCCGACTCGGCCATTCACATCTGCCATATAAATTTGCTTTGTCACTCTTTCCTCATTCATTCTTTCTACGTGACCAAACCACCGAAGCATTCCTTTCTTAATCCTGGTCACAACATCATCTTGCATACCACATTTATCTCTTATCACGCAATTTCTCACCCTGTCATTCAGATTACACCCTAGCATATTCCTTAAAGACCGCATTTCTACAGCATTTATTCTACTTTCGTGCTTCTTCTGCCACACCCAGCTTTCACTACCATACATTAAAGTAGGGACTAACACAGCATTATGAATTACCATACGTGCCTGTTTGGACAAATTCTGGTTCTTTATAATAGAGTGTAGTGCCCCATTCACTCTATTCCCTGCATTTACTCGTTTCGAAAAGCAATAAATACATTTTTAAATAGTAATGTTGTGTCACTTCCTTGATTCTCGAAATTTTCAGTGCCGCCCTCGTAAGAAGAAATGGTTAATAATAACGCCTGGGAATGAGGTCATCGCTACCATGCTATTTCTAATTTGTTTTGTGTAGTTAATTATTATGTAACTATAATGATTGTAAACTGTTCTTATTTTTTAAATCCCGCTACGTTTCTTGCTGGTTCATACTAGTACATAGGTATTTTGGAACTTGTGGCAATTTAAGCAATAAGAGTGAATTTCAATAAATATTATTTATAATCAATACTAAAAAAATACCTGAAGGGGCAATGTCTCCCAAGGTCTCTGATTGCATTCCAAATCCTCGACAAGTTCGAATTCCGAATTACCAAGGATCAGATGCACTTGCGTATGGCTGCCGTACTGTATGTGTAGCTGAAAGGTTATAAAAAATATTTAAAAGACATAAAAACATTTTTTTAAACTGAAATGACGAACTTAGACGTGGTAGAATCACATGCTATAACTATATTGTGGATGTAGCAAGAATCGGTCGGCTGAACTTTCCCGGTTACCGGACCTCGCTCTCAGAGAATACCAGCGTAAAACAGCATCTCAATCCTGCTGTGTTGTGTATGATGAGTATAGAGAATGGGACACCTTTTTTATGGAAATGAGGCAATACATCTTTGTCCTCAGGGTTCATAGCACATGTGAATTTTGGAAATTCTTAACAGAGGTTATAGATGTAGACGTTTATGGGCCACTGTATCCACTAACCATCATATGGACTGTGTGTTCGTTTGGCATCCCACCCTTACTCAATAAAAAAAAAACTTACAGTCCACCTGATGGTAACTAGCTAAGGCTACAACGATTGCAACCAACTTCAACTTCAACAAAAGAAAGCCACATTGTCACGTCTGAGGACCAAGATGGAATGCCTCCCAGCCGGTAACTTAACTGACTTTACATACGTTTTAGATCGGAACACATCATGCGCGCCTTGCTATTTAGCAGCAGGAGTAGGGTAAGAGTCAAGGTAGGCTGTAACACCGTACAGCCTACCTAGACGGACTTAATTGGATAATAAAACAACAATAAACTAATCGGATAGAGTGATCGGTGTCACCACTGTACCTCACCTCATTTCGACGACTACATCTAAAAATCTAGGGAAACCTAACGACGGATAAATTAAAAAAAAACCGTAAAAAAAATAGTTTTGTTAAACGAATTCTTAATTTTATTATGATAGTTGATTCATAAAGTATGTTTTTAATTTGTGTTCAATACTTTTACGGCTAATCTCTTCTTTTAAGATTTTAGATAGCTTATTAATTAATTTTGGAATAATACTCTTCTTTTCAAGATCTTAATACATAGTTTGTGTTTTATCTATTAGCAACCGTTAATAGATAAAACCGTCACTAAACACACAAAAAAAGGATCTTACTAACCCATCGGCACCCCCTCGGCAATGGCTCCGGTAATAGTCGCCTTCCCAGCAAACAGTGGAGGAGACGTGCCCGGGCTGTTGACGTGGTGCCCAGTATGACCAGGGCCGTGGGCCTGGACGACTGGTAGCTTATGTCCTGGACCACGTCCGATATTACTGGGTCTGAAAAGATAAACTTGAGTCAGTACACAAATATAATATATATATATATGTGTGTGTGTGTGTGTGTAATTATACATACATTAATTACTTACATCCTATACAAGTCTACTGTCGAACATAGGCCCCTCCCACAAATTGCCTCATAAGGACGATTTTGGCATATACAACATGTAACATAATTAACGCACTTTGAGAAAGTAGTTTGTTCAGAATCGTTTACTGAATCGATTCCTATCGTTTTTAATATAGGTAATTTTTATTCCAAAAATAATTAAAACTATACGTAAATTATAGTCACACTAAATCTATACAGTCAAAACAAACTGAAATGGACCGTAACTTAAGGCAATAAGACTTTTAAAAGTGCAGTTTTATTTGTATTATTATTAATTCTGTCATTCAATAAAAATAAAGAAGAATGAAATTTATTTCAAACACGTTAAAGTCTTTGCGTTCGTGGATGTGTACTGTGACCACAACATTCTTCCGGAATTATAAATAGTATAACTAATTTGATAATCAGTGCATAAAAATGTTTAACTAAAAATGCAGTGTATGTATTATAATTATAACATAATAATACTAATTAGGGTGTCTGAGGGTGTGCGTTAATTACGTTACATATTGTATGTCACACGCGAGGCAAGAGTGAATAGGCTTTTGTTAAGTCAGTGTGCTTCACCATCTGAGGCTACATCAGCACTTACCCATCGGGTGGGATTGTGGTTAAGCGCTGACTTGGAACAATATAATTAAAAAAAATTGGCAGGCTGGTCGGTAACCGCAGTTTTTTATTACTTTGAGTTGTTTTCAGGAAGATGTTACTGCCTATCTCCCTGTTATAGTTTCCCTCTGTCCCTTTATATGAAACCCGCAAGATGTTATGGAGTATTGGATTTTTTTTACACCGCCGCTATAACTTTATGTATATTTTTATAGGATAATGGTCTCTGCCCACTACACCGTATCATACCATGACCGTGCTAGGAAGGTGTCAGGCAAATAAATATTATTTATATTGAAAAGTATGACACTGTTCCCACTAGACCGTCCCGTCACCGACCAACACCGTTGCGTGCCATGCACAGAGCGTCAACAAATGTCGGCGAGAATATTTTGCCTTGTGCATGACACGCGATGTTGCCAAGCCGCTGCGCGCAGGCGGCGAGCCGGCGAGTATATACGGGTTGTAAACGCGTATGATGACCGTTATACGAGTATAGGCGTTGTAAGCGCGTTGCCGTAACTTAGTCATTTGTTGTCAGTTTAACAAGACGTAAAGACGTTGTAAAATGGAGGATGTAAAATTAATAGAATGTGTACGTAAATATGAGTTTTTATATAATCTACAACACCCGAAATATATGGATAGTGTGAAAAAAGAAATAGCTTGGAAGGAAATTTCGGAACAACTCAAACAAGCAGGTTTGTTTATAAAATTATTGTTTATTTGAAGTAATTTAATACATGGGTTAGTTAACCCATTTGTTAGTTTATTTTTTTAGATAGATAGTAGTTAAGGCATTTTATTTTAGTATAGTCTAGTTTATAAAATGTAATATTAACATTGTAATAAATATTCTGTATTATATGGGTATCCAATCCAATTGGCCTTGCGGCGTTTGAAAGAAATCCGTAAATTGTTGACGTACTTCAAAAGCAGTAGAAACTGCATTTTCTCCTTGGTGTCTTAGGTTGTTAAACTGTACAGGAGTATTTATTTCCGTATAAATTACTGTTTCTCCATGTCTAATGAAATTGTATAAAATGCACGTTGTTAGTACAATTTTTTTCCGCAAATTCTGGCCTCAAATGCAAACGTCTATTATAAATCCGAAATTTTTGACTTAAAATACCAAAAGCATTTTCCACTACACGTTGTGCTCGACAAATGCGATAATTAAAATGGCGTTTCTTATCATCGTTACTTGACTGTTGTGATGGATAAGCCCTTAGGAGATTATTTTTTAAAGGAAAAGCTTCATCTTGAACTAACATTACTCCCTTGAAAAAATTTGGTACTTGGAATATTAAATTTATTTTCGAATATAGCATTGCCCATTTTTGATTTTGACAAAATACCTCCATCACTATCTTTGCCGAAAGCACCGACGTTTACGGCTATGAAGTTATAATTAACATTAACTAAAGCTAAAAGTACAATGTAAAATGTTTTTTTATAATTAAAATACAAAAATCCACTATTTGGAGGTGCTAAAATAATAACATGCTTTCCGTCAATAGCACCTACACAATTGGGGAAATTCCATTTATTCCAGAATTCTTCGATATTTTTCCCATTGTTGTGCCAGGCGTAGGAATACTTTCTCGCATTATATTTTTTATTATAGCATCACAAACTTCCAACACGGCACGCCTCACAGAACTGATTCCCATACGATAGCTAAAAGCAATACTTGTAAACGAATCACCAGTTGTTAAGTACCTGCAAACAAATATTTATTAAACAAATAAGTCAAAGTTGTATTATAATATTTCACTTAGTTAAATGTATTTATGATTATGTATTATTATTGTTACATCAAAGCTGTATGTATATATTTTTAATAGTGTGTTTTGAGTGTGTATTGTATGTTTTATGTATGTATTCGTATTTATACGAGTAATTTTAAATACGCTAAACCTCCCGGGTAGTTGTTCCATTTATGATAAGTAGTAGACAAGTCAAGTTAAAAATTCTCAAAATTCTAAAACTTTAATAATTTAAATGTTTTTTTTTTTTAAATCTCTTTACATAAGAACATTTGGTCAGGCCAGGCATGGGGAATCAAGAGCAGAAGTATTGTAGTTAATTTTTATGAGTAAAGGAACCATCCCAACAACAATGTTTTTTAATAATACTTATTACTTGTATTTTTTTACAGCTGCAGCTTGTAAACAAAGGTGGCAAGGGCTAAGGGATGCATACAGAAGAGCATTAAATAAGAAAAAGGGCAAAAGTGGACAGGCAGCTAAGAACATTAAGAAATGATAGTACGAGGAAGAAATGTCGTTTGTTGCTTCGTTTTTTGCTGAAAAAAAAACCTTTAGAGTCCGTTGAGCTGACAAGCGACGATGAAGAGTCTCAGAACAAAGATGCAGAAACTGAAGTTCAGAACCCTAACTCAATCAATGAGATTAACAATACTGATGCTGTGGATGTGACTGCTCCTCACGATACTGAAATTCGAAACGAAGATAACACTATTATCCACAATAAATCCACACAACCAAAATCACAACACAGTCAAGCAAAAAAGACAAAGGGAATAAAAAGCGCTAAAAACCTACCATTATCAGCATCCGCTGTGCTGATGTCTAGATTATTAGACCAACAAGAAAGTATTCCACAACAACGTGAACACGATGAACTAGATCGTTTCTTTTTAAATATATCAGAAACAGTAAAAACGTTTTCACCTTCCCTACAAGCAATAGAAAAATACAAATTTCAGTTTAGTTTCCGAAATGGAGTTACAGCAGCTCGCACCACCTAGTTTTATTACAACTTCACCTCAATATGCAAATACTTCATCTCCAGCATCGACTTCTTCATGCGTTCAAGCAAGAGACCCACCTATGCCTACGTCTCCTGAGACTTGGGATACATCTATGACTAACGATTGGAATCAGTCTGGAAATGTTCTTGAATAGGTTTAGGTACATACAATATGAGTACACATTCTGAATATTTGAATTTAAATAAAAGTTTGATTTAAAATATATTGAACAAATTGTATTACTTACCGTAAACACACAGCAAGCTTTTAGCTGATTTAGCTGATAAGCTTTAGATGATAGACATTCTCTAAAGTTTGTGTTTTTTCTGCCAATATAATTTTCAATTTTTTTTCAGCAAAACATTAAATTATAATGTAGACATTCGGAAATACTGAAAAAAAACTTTTCTTCATCCTCAACTAAGTGTCTGAATAATGTCCAATACTCTCCTTCGGTTTTTCGTTCTTTTATAGAATCGTGAATCCAGTAGCGCCGAGTGTTGTTTTTGTTTTCTTCTTCTTCCTCATCCTGTATTAAAGCAATCATCGCCAGTTGTCTAACAGTTAATTTTCTGATAGCCATACCTATTTTACAATTTAAAAATTTGGTAGCACTCCAAGACGTCCACGCAACACTGTTACGCATGCGAGAATGAAACGGATTCCTATTGGTTTTGGTGGATGTTGCATACGGGCATCATACGGATTACATACGGGTTGCAAACTGGCATCATACGGGATGTATACGGGCACAGAACGCCGTCGATCCGTTCAGTGGGCAAAGTAGAGCGTATCGTGTTGTTTTTCGTGCGTGATACGCTCCTAGCACGGTCATGGTATGATACGGTGTAGTGGGCAGAGACCTTCAACGTGACAAACGAGCACACAGTACACCTTATGGTAAGTAGTCCCTGTGGCTCATAGATATCTATATTTATCCTCGGTTAAGAATCATAAGGCAGATGCGTTATCACCCCTGAGGACTAAGATAGAATGCCTTGTTTCCAGTAAAAAGGGTATCCAGATCTCTAAACTCACTAAATAGAGCAGTATTAAGCTGCTATTTTACGTTGTTATTCTGTGAGAGCTTGGTCCTTCCCCGGTCGAGTCAACCCATTCGAGCTACAACCACAATATAACTGCAGCGTGGCTCTACCATGTATAAAAATGTATACATAAATAAATTGCATATGAACAAACATCCAAACCCATAACGATAGTTTTCAGGTCATACAAACACTTGTCCCGTGCGGGATTCGAACCCACGTCTCCAACATGTCACCGCCAAACACATAGCCACTGCGCTACGAAGCCGCCATGATTATTAACACATCTGGCCCCCTTCGGCCATAAGCGTATTAATTAATGAGTAATAGTAACATAATATCACGTAAATACAGAATCTATATAATCATACACAATCTTAGACCATCAATAACTGTACGTGGTAGAGCCAAGCTGCAGCTATAATGGTTGCAGCACCGATTGGTTGTAATGAAGCACTTACTACATTATTTGGTGTACCACAAGGAAGTGTACTAGGCCCTACACTATTTTTAACATATATTAACGATCTCCTTAATATTACATTTACACAAGTTAAGACCTTAAGTTTTGCTGACGATACAGCTCTCCTTTTTCATGCAAATACGTGGCAAGAAGTAAATGAAAATGCTTAAGAAGGATTATATAAAGTATCTAACTGGCTAATAAAATAACAACCTTTTAACAGTAAATATTCAAAAGACAAAATATATCACTTTTACAATGCGTTCAACCAATAACACTAACTCCCAATATTCATTAAGAGCACATACATGTTCAAATCTGAAAACGATTCAATGTCATTGCACTGCTATTGCGAGAGTGAAGTATCTTGGGGTAATTATTGATAACAAACTCAACTTAACCCGCTTGCCAAGCGTGGTTGTACTGATAATAATGATAATGATCGTGAACCACTTCCTAACACAAGCATTTTAAGCTTTCCAGGAGTGGTTAAAAGTAACATTAGTAATGAATTAAAGAAACTAATAACAGCATTCTTAGTATTTATAAAAAATGTAGTTGGTTTCTCGGAAACGACTCAAACAATTTGAAAGAAATTCGGAAAACTTCACTTCTCTATATTTTTTGATAGGTCTTTAATATAATAATGGCACATTAATGAAACCAGGCGAAGACATGGCGTGTCGCTAATCTGTAATAATAATGGATTTCTGCAAAGTTTTGCCTTCTACTAATTCACTTACCATATGTGAGCACTTCGGCGACGTCGCGGAGTGCCCTCTCAGTGTCGCGCAACAAGCCGCGTAGGGAACGCGATCGCGCCGAGACGCGTCGCCACGCGCCTGCCATCGCGGGACCATCCGCAGACCCCTGTAACAATAATAATCAACAATTATTACCGTCATAAAAAAAATTAAGGCATACACCAACAAAAAAGGAAAGAAGAAGCGACGCAAAAACCATAGAATACTATAATACATACATAATAGAACGGAGGAGTGGGCGGAGCCCGTGTAGCCACTAAAATGCCACTAACACGTCAATTTACACGTATAAATGTCAACACGAGATGTGTTTTGACACATCTCGTGTTGACATTTATATTATGAAATTATTTAGAAAATGCCAAATTGCACACTATTTACAAATAAATATGTATTAAAATCCGTCTGTCAACACAGCGAATCGGGTTTGTCATCATCATCATCACAGCCCTTCACAAGTCCACTGCTGAACATAGGCCTCCCCCAAGTAATGCCACAAAGCACGGTCCTGAGCCACCTGCATCCATCGACTTCCTGCATATCTTACTCCGTCGTCGTCGTCACTCCATCTAGTGGGGGGTCGCCCTACACTACGCCTACCGGTACGAGGCTGCCACTCGAGAACCTTTCTTCCCCATCGGTTATCGGTTCTTCGAGCTATATGGCCGGCCCATTGCCACTTCAGCTTACTAATCCGTTGGGCTATGTCGGTCAATCTGGTTTTACTGCGGATATCCTCATTTCTGAGTCTATCACGCAGAGAAACTCCGAGCATAGCCCTCTCCATAGCTCGCTGAGCGACCTTGAGCGTCCTCATACGGCCAGCAGTGAAGGACCACGTCTCTGATCCGTAAGTCATCACTGGCAACACGCACTGGTTGTACACTTTAGTTTTCAGAGATTGAGGTATACCTGACGAGAAGATATGTCGTAATTTCCCGAACGCTGCCCAGCCGAGTTGAATCCGTCGATTGACCTCTCGGTCGAAGTTGGACTTACCTAGTCGGAATATTTGTCCCAGGTAAACGTACTCGTCAACAACTTCGAGCATAGTGCTCCCAACAACTACCGGCATAGGTGTGACATGGACATTAAACATAATCTTTGTTTTGTCCATGTTCATCTTAAGACCTTTCCGTTGGGAGGCACTATTGAGGTCATTGAGCATAGTGCTTAAGTCCTCCAGCGATTCTGCCATAAGGACTATATCGTCGGCAAATCGAAGGTGAGTGATGTACTCGCCATTGATGTTAATACCGTATCCTTTCCAGTCCAGTAGCTTGAAAACGTCTTCCAAAGCAGCGGTGAAGAGTTTCGGGTATATAACGTCACCCTGTCTTACACCTCTCTGCAGTTGGATAGGTTTCGAGCTCTGGTTCTGTACTCGGATAGCCATCGTAGCCCTACTGTACAAACACTTCAGCACTTCGATATACCGACAGTCAACTTGGCACCGCTGAAGGGACTGCAGCACCGCCCAAATTTCGACGGAATCAAAGGCTTTCTCATAGTCCACATACGCCAGGCAAAGTGGCAAATTGTACTCTTCAGTCTTCTGTACAATCTGCCGCAGGGTATGTATGTGGTCTATGGTACTGAAGCCTTTTCGGAAACCGGCTTGTTCGGGAGGCTGGAAGTCGTCGAGTCTGCGTGCGAGACGATTCGTAATGACTCTCGAAAACAGCACGTAGACGCGGCTCAGAAGGGAAATCGGTCTGTAATTCTTCAAGAGAGCGTTGTCGCCTTTCTTAAAGAACAAGACCACCGCACTTCTGCTCCACGCCTCTGGAGTAGTGCCACCATGGAGGACGGAATTGAAGAGCTTCTGAAGGACTTCAAGTACCGGTGTTCCACCCGCTTTCAGAAGCTCCGCTGTAATTCCATCCTCTCCTGGGGCCCTGCCGTTTTTAAGGTGCTGGAGAGCCATTCTAATCTCGCTTAGCTGACGTCCGGGATATCATCGGAATAGTGTCGGATAAGACTTGCTCTTGGATCGTTACTCACACTTGCGTGTGGCTCCAACGATGATGTGTACAGCTGCCCATAGAACCTCTCAATCTCACTCAAAATCTCAGGTGTCCCGGAAACGATGCTGCCACACTCAGTCTTCAGCCTTGACAGTTGGCTCTTTCTGGCAGACAGATCTCTGGCAAAGACTTTGGAGCCCTGGTTCCGCTCGATCGCTTCTTTAATACGAGCAGTATTAAAGTTGCGTAAGTCTCGCCGCATGCATTTGGAGATCTGTCTGTTCAGTTGCCTGTATGCTGTCAAATCTGTTGACGATTGCAGCCTCATCTCCCGTCTAACAGCCGTGAGATTAAGAGTGTGATCGGAGAGTTTTTATGTTCTTCTGCGGCGGGTCTTGCAGAACTTAGCTCCGACCGCATGGACAGTTTCCACGAGCTTGTCATTCATATCGTCCACTGCATTGCAATCTAGTAGGCACTGAAAGCGGTTGTGTAACTCGAGCTGAAAGTTTTCGGGATTCTGGATTAGAGCACGAGGGGGACGGAGCGTTGACTTCATTAGACGAGACCTTTCCAACTTAACGTTTAGGTTCAGTGTGCCCCTAACCATTCGGTGATCGCTGCCAGTTTTCACCCTTGCGATCACTGAGACATCACTGAACAGTTGGCGTCTGGTCGTCATAATGAAGTCAATCTCATTTTTTGTCGAACCGTCGGGGCTCGACCAGGTCCACTTCCTGTGGGGCCGCTTCTGGAAGAAAGAGTTCATCATAAAGAGTCCCTCTTTCTCCATAAAGTCGGCCAGCTGCTGGCCCCTTCGGTTCCGTTGCCCTACTCCAAATTTCCCTAACTTCAGCTCACCGTTTTCTCTTGTGCCTAGTTTTGCGTTGAAGTCTCCCATCAACACCGTGTAGTGGGTTTTGGAGGAATGCATGGCTTTGGAAATATCCTCATACATTTCCTCCACCTCCTCATCGGAATGTGCCGACGTTGGTGCGTAAACCTGTATGACCTTCAGCGAATACCGTTTGGTGATTCTGATTATCAGGTACGCGACCCTCGTCGACACACTCTCAATCTGTACAACGTTGTTGACGAGAGACTTGTGGACGATAATCCGACACCTCCTTGGGACAGATGGTCGCCCTCCCGGTGATAGAACAAGTTGCCGGATTCGAGAATCACCGTGTCCTCCCCCCTCTTCGGACCTCGGATAATCCTATTATACTCCAGCGCAACTTGTCTATCTCTTCTTCCAGCTCCAGGATCTTCTCGTCAGTCCTCAGTGTGCGTGCGTTAAATGTTGCCAGGTCGAGTCGTCGTAGGTGGCAACCGAACCTCCACCGGAGATTCTTAGCACCCCCTGCCCCGCCGTTACCATGGTCGCCACCGTAGCCAGGAATAGCGGGGCCGCCGGGGACTGGGGGCCGTCTATTTGTGTAATTGTTCATGGGGGGGTATATTGCCATAGTTGCCACGCTTGGCGAGCAGGTTGGCAACCGCAGTTTTTTTTTGTCGTACAGTTGCTGTTATCAGGAAGATGCTGCTGCCCATCTCCTGCCTGTCTCCCTCTGTCGCCTCTTACGACACCCACGGGAAGATATGGGGTAGTGGATATTCTTAACCGCCACTACACGGCACTCGGCACACGGCACACGGCAATCGGGTTTGTAGTAGTGATTAACTAATACGACGTAATTGCTTGTGTGTGTGCTCCCGGCGACGCCTATCCTCGTAAGAAATAAGGTTGAAAGCCATTCTACTGTGTATTATAGTATTCTATGGCAAAAAATGTATACATATAATGTAACACATTTTTTAACTTCACGTGTACGTCTAGAATCATTAGCAACCAACAACATCGTTTTAGGTGTAAGTGTGTACGGCCAACAGTGGGCATTTACGGTCTAAAGAAAGGAATAAAAATAAGAGTGCGGGTCAAGAAGTTGGCTATAGTTTCAGAGTCAATTCAAATGTAAGCAGCACTCCTACTATCCCTCTTTGTTGGTCTGAGTTTAGAGTTTAAACATTTAGGACCCTCTTATACCGTAGGTAATGCCTGCGGGTCCAGTTGTATTGACCTTCTACAATGGTTATCGCTAATAGAAAAAACTATAATTAATGGGAATGGAATATCAACGTTAAGACACGTGACTATCACGTGACTCAACTAGACGTATTATTATTATTTCTGTTAATATCGAGGTGTAAATTTCATTGGTCATCATCGTTTTTCAAGGTTTTCATTTCATAGAACTAATTCTTGTATTATTGTTAGAGTAAATCTGATATAAAACTTCTCGCCATGGATCTCGATAAAAACGATAATACAACGCGACGCGATGTGAGTCGACGCCTCACGCCGCCGTCACTGTGAAAATATAAAGCAATATTTTTTATAAAACTAGCTTTTCATGCGAACTAGTCCATCGCGGCACCATTTTGGGATACTCGAAACTCTTTTGGGATACTCGAAACTCATTAGGTTTTTTTTTCGCAGAACCCTGACTCTTTTTCTAAAATAATAGTAGCCTAAGTTACTCCTTATAACATCAGGTATCTGCCAGTGAAAGTACCGTCAATATCGGTCCAGCCGTTTCGGAGATTAGCCGGAACAAACAAACAGACAGACAAAAAATTTAAACATTGTTTTTTTTTTGTTAAAAATACAGTATGTACTTTCATATGCATTTAATAAAAATCCGTTATTTTGACATTAAAAATTCAAATTCATTCACAAAAATTTCTTTATTTTAATTCGAAATTGTAATGTCAAACATACACTTCAATTTTACTTATTTGTGTAATATAAATAAATATAAATAACGAGCAAAAATTCCAACTGATGCTAACTGGATACTGTGACCAATCGACATCCACTAGATTGATCAATAAGTTTTTGGAAACGCAATGAAACTAGAATGAGTATATGTAAATTGTATTCATTTTTCAACGTAATCGCCTCTTACGCTAATACACCTTGAACCGTTAGTTTGCAAGTTGGTTAATTCCTTTAGAGAAAAGGCTTGATCCTGGGTCTCGAAAAAAGCCCCTACAGCACACTAACCTCATATCATCATATCATAGTCGCCGTCGAATTTTATACTACGCAAGTGCTTTTTCAGGTGAGTAAAAAGGT